AATATTCCTCATTATTTTTATGATATTGTACAAGGAAGAGTGCCCGCACCAAATTATGCAAAATTTCTGCCAAACGTCTTTGAACACAAATTCAGCCACCCCATCCTCCTGGCAACAATGTTGATTTTCTGTAAAACTACGTTGGAGATCAGGAATTACATTTTCTTGTGACTGGTCAATTGTTTGCCCGAGCTATGTTACCTAACTAGATTGTTCTTGAGAAGGAAACAGAAATATATAAAACTAGGAAAAAAATTGAACACAGTTAAGTACAACACATATTGCTCGATGTTCCAAGTAATTTTTGCAGGCATTTTGGCATCAAAATTTGCTCACTAATATCACGTTAAAACGTGCCTCTTGCAAAATCTCTTCCAAATTAAATATTTATAGTTCCGTGAAATAAGAACATCCATGCTGTTTAGCGTATATTCAAATTTTATAAAAATTATTAAAGATTTCATAGATCAGGTCACCCAAAATAAAACGAGGCCTGCAACCTAAAAAATGTGTAGGAAAGCGATGAACGAAGAAGTGCTGGAGGGAATAAAAAAGCGGCACGCACACTTTTTATTTGTTAAAGAAAAATAAAGCTGTTGCAATGCGATTATCAACGATTAATCGACACACAGATTCAAAAAATTCAAAAAGGGCAAACTGTGGTCCAAAATATTACAAAAGAAATGCTTATTAACTTATTTACCTTACAAAGATTAAAAACCAATAGATTTAAATTGTAAACATCTTTTCTGTTACACTATGAAGCCTCTGAAAAGCCCTCAGCTCTATTGTTAGTGTTAGATTTTACTTCCTTCTTCTTTGGCAAGTGGATCCGTGCACGGTTTGGGTCCAGTTTCTTCTAAAGCAATGGAGTTAGAAAGAAACTATAACAACAGATGAAATGGAAATGCGCAATAATCATAAAGATGATGGGAGTATCAATTTTTTGCCTGTCATCACCAGTAAGTTTTGCCAAAATTCTTATTTAAAAAAAAGGCGAAGTAAGACCTGAATTAGGCCCAAGAATTAGGCCATCATTCTGAAAAATACAATTGGTACATATCCTATCCTTTACCGTTTTTGATACTAGCGAGAATTATTTTATCAGGCCAAATTCATTTGAATGCAGATGGCAGATGGTTTTTGTTATTTTTAAAGTTTTTTTTTCTATATGTAATCTGCAACAACACGCGTGTAAACATGGTGTGGTATTATTGTTTTACTGTGAATGAACCAAGATATGATTGGCTAACGAGTCGGTGGAAATTAGAGAACTGTTTGTAGTCGTTACAATGAGGGGGATGGAAAAGTATGCATAATTCCCATCGCAAATAATGAATACGTATTACACTATCCCTGCCCATTGCAGAAACGGAAGCAAAATATCTTCTGGAATGTAGGAGGTTTAAATTTTTAATTTAATTTCTGTTTACGTTAATTTTAGAACAGTCTTAGATAGTAAACGTAGATGACGTCTCCAGTAGTAGGTACTTCCTTCTGGGGAAAAGGTACAAGTAAGACAGTGATGGGGCAATGGAGGGGTGGTAATTTGGAGATAATAAGCTCCCCTTTTTTCCAAATATGGTCCCCTTTATTCTTCCTTAAGTGGATAGAAAAGGAGGAAAAAACACCTGGTAAACATAGCAGTAAATCACACATAATGGGCATATTCTCCAATTGCCCTCCAACCTTGCAGTAGCTGGTGCCTCCACAGACTTAATGTCATGGTATAACCCTGACTCAAAAAGTTGGACAAAGTTGCAGTTATTGTAGTGTTATGGAAGTTTTGAATTTCGTTTATAGCTGTACTGCAGGCTGCAACAACAAAGGTGATTAAATAATTCAATTGAAAAAAGTTTCACTGGATTTCATGGATTTTGTTATTTAAAAGTGACACTGATTTTCCATGATCAAGTTGAGATATGATTTTTCTCAATGGTGTCACCCCAGGGGGGTGCTTTCATTAAGGCTTGACAGGGGTATGGTCATGGTCAAAGAGGGCCAAAGCTAGAATGCTAAAAATTACCCTCAAATGGTAGCTTTTTAACAAAACCCCAAAATAACAATCGCATAAGAATTGCAATATCAACTAAGCAGTAAATTAGAAGTACCCCCCCCCCCCTCCCATGAGGTAGCAACTACTTAAAATACTCAAAGTGGTAGTGCTATTTTCCTAAATTGGACCATTTGGTAGCCATTGGGTAGAACCCTCAAACTGACCAGACCCTCTGTTAGGCCCCTAGGACTACCCCCCTCCAGGGGTGTCACAAGAGAGGGGGCATGGTGTGTTATCATCCTACAAATAGAGGCAATTTATACTCTCACCAGGGCATAAAAATTATATTGTATGAAAAGTATGAAAATTATTTTATTTTCCTGTAGGGTGCAAAGTTTTCCATATTATGAAATCAACATCTAGCAGACTAAACCTCCTGTCATAGATACACCAGTTCTTTTGTGATCAAAATTGTTTGATCTGCCTGATTTCATTGAGAGTTTATGAAGTGAGATTTAAGGACAAATGGCTAAGAGCAAAGAGTTAAAAACAAAACAAAAATCACTGGGATGGAGAAGATTGTCAGAAAGACTGTTTGAATTAACAAAGTTATAAATATGAATATATTATCTTTTTCATTGCTTTGGTTTGTTTAGGGGTGAGTATTGGGGTGTAGTACCCCTTATAGGAAGAATACGGCAATAAAGAGTGTACCTTGTCCACTGTAACTGGAATCACTGATCTTGTCTCTGTTCTTTCCTTTTTTACTATTTGATGTTCAGTGGTCATTTTTCATTTTCTGGTTTATTTTTGCTGTAATGTCATTTCGCCACTTCTGCTTCCCATGCTTGATAATTTATATTTCCTAAATAAATACCATCTGAGACCAGTGAAGCCCAATGTTAATTTGATATTTTCTTTATGGCAAATTTGTTTGCTCAAGATATCAATTTGCTTAGTGCTTAAACATGCAGTCACTACTGTAGCCCGGCTATGTAGTCTTTGACCTTTTGCTGCTAAAAAGACTGCTTTTTTGTGCCATCCTACTTAGAATAATGCCCCTAAGCTCTAATTTTTTGCACCAAAATCATTCAACTTGATCTTTGATAGGCCTATGCTTTGTGCCAAAGATTTTGATTCTTGAATAAAGCTACCAGGAGATTTTGTGACCTCAAGGTGTCTCGGTGATGTGAGAGAATGGTTCATTGTTTATAGAGTTTTTGACTAAATGGATGTTGGAGATTAGGAGGCGACCATAACATGCTATGCATTGTAATCTGTACCAAACTTTAGAATGAGAGGAAAGCCAGCCCATTTCTATTATGTCTTACTTCAACTTCTTAAGTTTTGTAACATCTCAACTTATTTTCATAATTTTATCAACATTGATGGTAGTAAACAGCCTTTTATGCACTCAAACTGGTGACAGAAAAATTTCCTGTGGAAATCAAGATCACAGAATGGAGAAATAATACTTAAGAGCATACTAAAGAAACAATTTAGTTAAATAGAGCAATATACCTAAGGAATTTGGAAATGTAAACTTAACAGGTACAAGGTTGGTAGGTGAAGCCTTAAAGTTAGTTCCAGACTTGCAGCAAACCAATGATTCAACTTAAGTTGCAAAATTTGATTGGATCTTGAAAACTTTTTTCTTTTTTCACCTTTTCACATATTTTTAAATTGTCTGCTTTTCTACCAATGTTTTGTAGTCATTGTTAGAAATACTTTGTGGTAGTGGAAAGGGTAAACTAGTATAAGAAAGCGATCGAAACTTTAAAATCTAATGTAAATATAATCTGAGTATTATAAAATCCCAGCACAATCGGATGGAAATGGAACAACAGGAGTACAGCATAAGCAGACATGTTTTAATGGCTTAGAGCCATAATGTACCTTTTCATTTAATTGTACTCTCCTTGATATTTTTTTACTCTTTTGCTTTTACTTTGTTAACACTCATGATTCCTTATAGATTTTGGCAACGAAGAAGTGTATCTCAAAATTTCACAAGAAATTGAAAGATGCCTGCCTTTGAAGCCTTACATATGGAAGAGGTACATTTTCACATACGCAGTTGCGTTTTTTAAACTGAGAAGCAATTCTTAATGGCTCAGCCAAATAAAACGAGGACAAAAATTATAACAAACTTGTTATACTGATATTTTATGATCTGAAGCAGTGCTTGGAATAGCTAGGGAGAGGGAGTTAGTGAGTGTTCTAGGCATTGTAGACACATAAAAGATATCCTAGAAAACACGTATTGCTCTTTCTTAGTATCACTCTTTATCAGCAATTTTTTTATTAATTGACTTTATTGTCTTTTCCAGCTTTTGTTTGAATTGAAGAATTTTAAAGTTTGGAGGCCCTAATGATTTTTTGCAAACGCCTTCCAAGTAAATTTGTTTTATCACAGGGAGGGAGAAAGCACAACAAACACTGTCTGTCTCAAAGCTGCGCTTGAGACATTCAGTACAGAGCAGCTGACTGGAACAATAGATGGCTTTGTGACAAAACGACCTCTTCTTCACCTGTACTGGACAACCTGCTCGGTGCGTTTCGCTTATCTTTTTAGGGAGACAAACAACTGCTATCTTTCAGCAACTGAGCAGTGTTCAGAAATAGTGGTTGTTGCATCGCCACCAAGTTATAAAAGTCTTTGTAAACACAAGAATTTGAGGGTTGCACGTCCCTGAGATTGTGTAATAACCTAAAGCCATTTTAACACAAAAAATTTAAATGACTGCAGGATGGCTCGATAAAATTTCGTCTACCAACTAATACCTCTATTTTGATGGAACCTCCTTATCTTTTTGGCATGACCGACAAAATGTTTCTTCTTTAATTTTCTATTTCATTAAAAGGGCATGTTTCAAATATGGCATTTTTGACAAAATAATTATTGCTACGTTGAGATCTCTAACTGATCAATTTTTATATGATTTAATAAATAGAATCTTAAAAAATATTCATTTAATTTGGGATGGGATGATGCTGAGACCTTGAGAGAAAACAGTATTCAGCAATCTATAACAATTTGACTGTGCTGTAGCTGTAACGTATCAACCCTGATACTCAATTCACTTAATTCTAATGACCATCTGCATTTACGTGAGATTTGCAAATATACTTAAGCTGAAGGGCTTCTTCGTGAACAGCTCCTCGCATTAATGATGGATAAAATTGGCTAGGCCATCGTCTCTCCTTTAGAATCAATCATGTTGTGGCTTCGATTAAGCTTCGATTGTGGGTTTTACTTGAATTTTGCGATTGTCTGCAACCAATTTCTAGCTAAGATATTAATCTAGTAGAAAGGCTGCTACTCTTTTTAATAAAAACACCTTTTATAAAAACACCTAGGCTCCGAGCCTCAAATGAAAAGAAAATCACAAAAACAAATGTGTGTTCAAAAGTTGTCAACAATTTGTCAACTTAGCAGAACAGATTTCATCAACAAATCAACTATTTTACTAAAAGTCATACGAAGCTGCTGTTTAGTGGTCTTAGAAGCAATTAATCGCATAGGAAAATCAATGTTGAAATAAGAGCAACATCAAGAACACGATACTCTTTTTATCCAAAAGATAAGAACATCGAGTGTCTGCAAAGAATATCTGGTTTTTATGAAAAAGGGGTGTACTTTATTCTAACCTTATTTTAGATGCACATTTTTGAAAATTTAGTTTTGTTTCAAGTCTTCCAGACTCTTTCTTATTGATAACTGGATTTTATCATTTTAGGAAAACAAAGACTACCGGCATGGAACAAAACAAAAGATCGAACATTGGAGAAACCATTTAAAATCATGCAGCATCAACGATTGGTTGATAATTTACGTTAAAAAACAGTCACGAAGAAGGATGACTCGTTCAAAGGATATTGTTTATGAACATTTAAAAGCCGATTTTGGGGATGAAGATGAAACAATAAGGTGAATCCTAAACGCTTTTTTTGAAATCATTGCATACAGAGAAAAAATGATTTACTGTAAGTGTTTATTCGCGAAAATTGTTTTGTGCACAGGCGTAGCTCAAGCGAACAAAGTAACGAGCAAACGAGTGAGCCAGCGAACGAACTAGCTAATGAACGAACGAGCGAACGAGCGAATGAACGAACGAACGAACGAACGAACGAACGAACGAACGAACGAACGAACGAACGAACGAACGAACGAGCGAGCGAGCGAACGAACGAGCGAACGAACGAGCGAACGAACGAGCGAATGAACGAGCGAACGAACGAGTGAACGAGCGAACGAGCAAACGAGCAAACGAGTGAGCCAGCGAACGAACGAGCTAACGAGCAAACGAAAACAAGGGAACGAAGGCACGAACGAATGAGCGAAATTTATCTAAGTTCACTGATTATATTAAGTGACAGAAAGCATTTTTTAAAAGCATTAAAGCGAAAATTTACTGATCAATTATCTAAATATATGGAACTAGGTCGAGATTTAGGGTGAAAGACCGCACCTGTTCTGTTGTGATTCCTTGGGTTTATGCTTGTTTATGCTTTGTGAAAGACCAAATTTTGGTTCGTTTGCCCGAATTAAATCGAATCTTTGGCATTTCATCAAGAAAGAACGCTTTTTAGAAGCTACTGAAATAAATCAGCGTTAGCAGTCGTTGAGGCCTAGGCTTGAGCGATGAATTCGTCGATGATTTCATATATGAAGAGTTGCAAGAATTTCTGTGACTAAGCGGATTGTAAGTAAATGGACGGAAAGAAATGCATGTTGCATACTAGGTATCTCTTTCCAGGAGTCCAGGGAGTTTTCGTGGTAGACTGTCTATTCATTTTGCTATTTCTGTTGGTGGACAGAAGACCTGTACCTAAATGTTATCTTTCCCCATTAGAATTTTCAAAATTTATTATTCTTTTATTTTGAACTGTGCATGTTGCTTGGAATTTTCAACTAATATACCTAAACCAGAACCTAAACCTGAATGATTTTATATGAAAATAAACATAACGATAGCTAATTTCCAATGCTAATAAAGCAAAGTGGTAACCATATGATTCCATTCTTACGCATTTTATGTTACCCTAGCGCTTGGACTGTTTTAATGATAGGCCCCAAATTGCATTTTTATATCATTAGTTTCAAATAAACATTTTGTATATTGCCAGTTTATATAAAATGCTGTGTTACCGAATATATCTATCTATTCATTCATTTTTGTTTTAGACTTTTAATGTATTAACCGTATTTCTCTCGAAATTTACATTGGTTGACAAGAAACTCATTACTGTGATATTTAGCAAATGCAACCTTAAATCTTAAACAAAAGCAATGCTTCTGCCTCTATTAAGACACAAACAAAATGCCTTTGCGTTCATGACCCTGCAACATGGACAGTCTTTTTTTGATGACCCATTCATTCCTACACCTTTCAGCTTAGAAGCTGCGAGGAAGGCATCAACAATTTTTTAACATATACTGTATATTGTCTTTTAGAGTTGCTCAGCTATGGGAGCCAAGGAAAGCAGTGGACTCTTGCTGGGAAGCTCTCATGACAAGGATTCGACAATTGCTGTGGTCTTCAATTAAAAATCATCTTATAACAGTTGATGATAGGCTACAAGAACACAAACAGAGGCATCTGGAGCCAACATGGTCGTTTCTTGAATATTTACAGCTAAGTGTATGGGGCTTTTTCCAAACTATTCACAGGCTAATGGATTGCTTTGTTTTTAACAATAACTGGACTACTCGTTAATTATCCACATAAAAACTATATATACCTTTCGACTTATTGATTCTGCCGATAATTTTTTCTATTTCTTAAAAGCTAGCTGTTTTTGCTAAAAATGAAAGAACTTTCAATAATCTATTTTCAAAATAAAACTCCTCGAAATTAAGAAATTAGGAGTTTTAAAAGCTTACCAGATGATTATTTCTTTTTAAGCTAGAAAGCTTTTTTTGGTGTTCCCTTGAACATTTTCTGAATGAATGATTATAAACAACTTTTGATATCAGCATTGTTTTCTGCAGCCTAGTGGCAAGATATTTAAAAAGGATCAGACAATGCTCGATATTATTGATGTTTTAGAACATTTTTTTACATTCAATTTGAATAAAAAGCTGCCATATACTTTTAAGGAGGAGGTGGCCGGTATTTATAACTTCGCAGCACACTATCAAGAGTCGTTTGCTTGTTATGAAGAGCTGAAGTCATTCATTTCCCAAATGTTGTCTGAGCAAGACCATAATGGTAAGAATTTCTTAGCTTACAAGCACTATCCCTCGATGAATTTCGGTGGTCATCCAAATTCCTATTGGTTGCCCTACACAGCAGGTTATTGTTACATTTCCAATCAGCGACGCAGAACTAATTTCAATACTTTCTCTATTAAAGATGTGCCACTGTGTAGTGTTAATATAAACGTTTAACTGTCGGAACAAAGTGCCTCTAATGAAAATTTACCACTCACATTGGTCGTTTTGCATGAAAAGAAGATAACATATTGTTGAAACTGCCAACTGAATTTTTAATTTATGATTCCTAGGAAGCAACTCAATCATTTCATCTAGGATTGAGATGCAGCCTAGGTTCCTGGTTAAATCTAAAATTTCAATCGTATCAAGTAAAATCCAAGATAAAATGTTTACGTATTTAAGGAGAGGTAGCCCTTCAGAAATATTGGTTTTTAATGGCCCTTCACTTAGAAAGTTTACAAATTTAGACTGAAGTTAAAATAAAATTTATATCCACTATTCTTTCTTTCATTCTAAGTAGCATCTACGTTATCTGTTGTTCCCTAGCCATAGTGTTCCACCAAACCCTGTCATTAGAACTCCTTTTTAGGATACCATAGCTCTACCAAACCCTGTCTTTTTAGGATACCATAGCTCTACCAAACCCTGTCTTTTTAGGATACCATAGCTCTACCAAACCCTGTCTTTTTAGGATACCATAGCTCTACCAAACCCTGTCTTTTTAGGATACCATAGCTCTATCAAACCCTGTCTTTTTAGGATACCATAGCTCTACCAAACCCTGTCTTTTTAGGATACCATAGCTCTACCAAACCCTGTCTTTTTAGGATACCATAGCTCTACCAAACCCTGTCTTTTTAGGATACCATAGCTCCCATAAAATCTGTCATTTGACCTCCTTTTTAGATACCATAGCTTCTGATCTTTGCCCACTCTTTAACATCATCTATCCAGGTTCTCCTTTGCTTTCCATATGATTTGCTGCTCGAAATAGAACCCTTGATAACTTTACAGAAAACTGAACCACTTGATCCTCTTGCAACAAGTCAAAAACGCACAGCTCTCCACTTTGCAATGATCGTATTCAATCTAAGGGTAGGGTGCATTCTTTGTAGTCCTTCCTCATTCCTTATTCTAACCGTCCACTTCAGCATTCTTCGGTAAACCATAGAGCATAAAGGCTTTAAAGCGTCACATCCATAGGTAAAAGCTGATCAAACATATGCTCTATGAATGTTCAGTTTTTTTGTTTATGCTGCTGTTAAACCATTCTTTATGTCGTTGGAATGCCAGATTTGCCATGGCGCTTCTTTTCTTTATTTCGTCTACCCTACATTGCTGATTAGCCTTATTTCATATTTGGATGTTTAATACTTTTCAAGAATTACAAATTATTTTCGCGTTTAACTCTTTCGAATGATTTTGTGTAATCTATAAAACATACAAATAAATTTCTTCCCTTTCTAACCGTTGTAACTCCTACATTCTACATAACAATCATCAAATATTCACAAGATACTATCGGGCTCACTAACAAGTAGCTTATCAATTGCCTTTCGGTCTTATAAATCTAATGGAAATTTTTTTTCTTTAGCAATATATAGAATAAGTCTCTTCCTCATTGTAAGAAAACTTGGACTATCGTGAAAGTGCAATGAGCCTAAAATCACAAGTAAAATAATGCATTTTGATAGCTCTTTTAATTTGAACGTCACATTATAATTGCTAAGAGAGGTTTGTTACATCAATCTCAAGGAAATCCATCTGTGATGAGACGGTGGACGAAGACACCTTTTTGTTGGGATGGAATATCGCTTAGATACGAAGCAATTGTGTATCACCGTGATGTTGTTTATGGCGGAAAAGCATCGATATTGGAGCTCAAAAATTACATTTCCATACGACAATGGCAGTTGCTTCTGAGCATGGGGAAAAGATTGGAGGTTCCATCAAATTTTCTGATGTTTTTATTAACAACGGTGCATGAGACGAAACTTCTCCTTGTAAGTATAACCGCTTTTTCTCCCTTCTCTGTGTTGCTGCTTTATGCTCAAAGTGGAAATGCAAAACAGTTCGTTTTCTCAGTTAATTAAGGTAAGGGTAAAGGTTAAGGGAACTGTGGGTCTTGTAGAGGAGATACCTGATAGAAAGTCCAGTTGTCCTTGGACAATAGCGTGATAAAGTAGAAGGCCAGTTCCATCCATCGTTGCAATCCCCCTCCCCCCTTCAGTGTTGCCACAAGTCAGTTTTTTGTTGCAGGGGGAGTGAAGGCGAGTGCCCAAGCTATTAGTTAGTCCTGGATTTTTAGCCCAATTTCTTAATTACTGCAGCAAGGCAATTAAGCTCCATGACTTATCGACTGTACTGAAGTGGTAGACTGATTGATTCATCGTGTAAACAACCAATAAATTCCTTGCCAGTGAGCAGCATTGATAGAATGATATTCCCTGCTAACTACAAAGTAAAGTATTTTATCAAGACATGTTTTGCAAGAATAAGCATTTATAAATATATTTTGCTTACCAGACTGGCCTTTCTGTTTGTGTTCCTGCCTGTTCGGTTGTTTCATCTTGTCTCGAATACGTTAGTTGTATCGGAGAGGAAGAGATGTCAGACAACACCGTAATCTCATATTTGGCACAGCTATTTGATTATGCTCGGGAAAAGCTTTATTCGATTGGGGAAGAATGTCATCTACTTCCAGGCAAACAGCCTGTTGATGATATGTTAAAGGAACTAAGTTCGGGGCTTTGCATCAGCCAACAACTTCATGAAGACACAGAAACCGGCTCGAAAATGCTAATGGCAACAATTAATTCTCAGGAGATTTTCAGTAAAAGGTACATAGCACTCTGCGGAAAGTCAAAGAGGTTTTATGAAAACTGTCGTAGATTTCGATGTGCAAAGAGAGTTTCTCTTGATATGGCAAGATATTTTTACATGCTGGAGAAGTATGACTTTGCAGTGAATGAGTTGATGGCTACTCTAAATGAATATCGCTTGTCAGGTTGGGAAATTCTGCATATTAATGTAATGGAACTGCTCGCTGCATGTCATCCAGATGGAAAATCACTTGATCTTTATCTATCCACGCTAGGCCATCTCTCTTGTACAAAAATTTTGTCTGTTGATAAACGTTTGTCGTATGCCGATATGTTTTTGACAAACTGTTACCAGAAAACTGAAGGCGTATTAAGTATAAGTTTGACCTCAGTCATCAACATAGAGCATGTCCGAATCGAGCTGAGTGGCGGCCTAATTCATATCGGGGAGAAAGTTAATGTTTTTGTGACCCTGCAAAACAATATGCTTAAAGATATCAATGTAGAGGATATTGAGATTATAGCTAAGTGCTCAAAAGCAAAGAAATCTGGATCATCAAAGAATCGTGCAGCAACTAGAAATCTCCCCACTAAACCAAGCGAAACAGTCTGGACAGAACTGCTTGCAACCGAAAGAGAATCACCTTCCGTTACGGTTAAGCGATCTCGGTCTGAACAAGGAAAGAGTCACGATAACGAGGCTCAAGATAATGTACAATATAAATTCGAGACTGACGTTCAACAGAGCGAGGCTGTAGGTACAAACTCAGATTCAGAATCTTCCATAGAGGATGACAGCAAATCTGATGAAATCGAGATAACGCAAAGTGGTTGTAGCGAAAGGTTGGTGTCATTTGTATCGAATTATTTTGAGTTGCTAATATGCTCACTATTGGTGAAATTCACGCAATTAGACAGTACAATCTCCATCTTAAGGAAACTAGGATCGATAGAACAGGACGGTTCTAAGTTGGCTTGGCACAGTCTCTGTATGAAATATATATTCATTTTAAAGTCTAATAGAAAGTTTTTTTGCAAGGTTTCGTGATGTCTACAAGGAGTAACTACTAGTCCAAAGAATAGCGAATGGAAAACCTCCTTGATTTTTCGACATTCTTATCGAAAAAATTCAAATATCGCATAGGTGGGTAATCACAAAGTAGGCAACAGTTAACCGTAATACAAGTATTTGAAATCTCTAGGGCATTCTAGAACATTCCTACCGCAAAATGTGAGGAGATTTAAATAAACGCAATAATAGAATTTGGTTTTTCAAACAGTTGATGCTATATGCTTTTTTAAATGCAATTTAAGCCCCTCGTAGCTCTACAGAATTTCGAAGCTCTTGTTTAAATGTCACTAGCTATCAAAGTTAGTAAAATATTTTTCAATAGGAAAATTATTTTGCCGGCATATCACGATATTGCAATGAATTTGAGCCTACCTTGTTCGTAGATTTTTTCTAATCATTTGCTATCGTTTTAGTCAAATAGATGAAGCCTCTGACAATGTATTAGAAGACAATTCCGTTTTTGAAATGGAAGATAGCACTCCTATCGTTGTAGAAGAGGAAAGAGGTAGCACGTTGGTATCAGGTCCCAAAATACTGAAAGTCGGTGAGAATATTATCAAACTGACAGCCAAGGTATTATTATTTTGATAACTGTCAATGTTATTATGGTTGAATTAACAAAAAAACATACATAGATAAGTTGATGTTGTTGTTGGCTTATCAATTCAAAAGTTGACTTATTAGTTCAAATGTTCATAGAATCTTAGGAAGAAAGAAGTAAAGAAAGAAGTAGATGAAATATTTACAAGACTTGTCAATATACAATATAAAAGAGTTTAATTAAACATTTTTCAAAAAAGCTCAGGTTTGCAATCAAGATACACAATAACTTGCATGGAAAGTTTTCTCCGTACTAGTTTTAAGCTTCTTTTTCTATTAGTAAAGTTTTCTATTATTTGCATTCCTTATTGACAATTGGTTTTATTTTTCATATCTGCAGGCTTTCATATGTTTTTTAAGTTCTTTCTGTCCCGTTGTTGACAGGTTTCCCTTTGAAAATATCCACCAATATCCAAGGTATCCATAGACAGACGAATTGTATCTTTTCAATTCTATTAGGTTTCTGTTAATCATAAAAATTGTAGTTTTGTTGTAGAACTATTTGAAAGCCCATGGAATGACTATTTGAAAATCAGTGTTTCAGAATAAATCAGGATTCTGACTTCTCTCGCTAGGCAACAATGAAAACCATTGCCTAACACAAATTTTAATGAAACAGATTGATTATTTTCAGTATCAAAAATTAACCCCCCCCCCCCCCCATTAACTTGCTTTTTTAGAGAATCAACGTCTTTTTGTTGTCTAGGTGGAGCGTATTGGAAAATATTATTTGCATGATCTTCGTTGCAAGATTGGAAACACTGTCTTGTGTGAAAAACTTGACCTGCCTCAAGAATCAAACTCTTTCCTAGTGGTAGCAGATCCGCCAAAGTTTAGATGGACTTCAAACCTTCCCAGTAAGTTGGTTTAGATTTTCATAGATATCGGAACTTTACAAACATTAATTTTTCTCTCAACATTGCAATCATCAACGCTCAATTTTCATTTTCATCAAACGTTAAGAGCATTTATGTAATTTTTTTGAACAAAGGAGTGCAATATTAAGTGACAATTATTGAATTTTCACTGTCTGCTAAGCAAATCTTTTATTAGAGGTTCTATTGAGCGGTAATGAGAGTATGCTAACACCCTTTTTTACAATGCGGCCCATTTAGGCATTTAATTTACACGATAATCATTTCTCAACAAAGTTTTCTTTGGAGAAGTGTATCGTAGAGAGAGCTTCTACTATTATGACATGTTGCGCTTGTGCATCAAAGCACCGTTCACGTTAATGGTGTTAAATGAAATGATGAGAGCATTTACGACGCTAGAATATTTTCCGTACCTAAAAACATTTATGTCTTCATCTGTAATCCTTGTTAGCTTAAGGGTAATGTGTCCATATGAAAGGACTGCGTATACCCAACTTGTCAAGCCATCCATCAAAATAACAGCTTGCGATTGGTCAGTTATCTTGCGATGCAAAACTGCTCCCAATGCCTCGCACTGTAGATAAACAAAACGATCGTAATGGCTGGGGTGATCACATGAAAAATCACATTTTTCAGAAAATCCCCGCAGAGTTGCTTGCTTTAGCTGGACACATTATCTTTAATATCTTCTAATTTTTTGTTGATTTGGTAGTACTTTGATGTCCTTTGAAGTATATCACAATGATCGGTTGATAGATATGGGTGATTTTCAAGCTGTTATCTGCCAAACACAGTTAAGCAACTGCATTTGGTCAAGATTCGGTTTTTGTGAGTTAAATTGCTTTTTTCTTAACTGTAGCTGAATGCGGGGTTCTTGGAATAAAGCAGAGAATGCGTATGACAGTGACAAATGGTCCAGGATTTATTCCCAATTTATCTGCAGTGCAATTGTCGTCCTCTTCTGGATTGAAATTTAGTTCTTTACATCAAAGCTCCGTAATAGTGAGGTCACGGAACCAAACCACATCTGAAACGAAATGTGCAATGAATATTGCCGTCGATTGTTCAAAGCCGAATGAAGCTGTAATAAATTTGCCAGAATGCAGACCATACGAGGACATTGAGATGTACTTTGACGTTACAACGTTGAAACCAAGTGAAGACTTGAACGACGGTTACACGGAAAAACATAAGGTACTCGAGTTTATATACGATGATATCCTTTCCCTAAGATGGTTGTTAGTGTATACGGTCATTGGACTGAGCCTTTACTAAGAAGTATATTATAGGAAACGAAGCATAGTTTTGATTGTTGCAGTTTCTCCTGGAAGTTAGCTGCAATGTACTAGTATCTGTTTTCTTCCATTTATGAAAAAATCAAACATCGGAAATAATGAAATTCTAAACGAAACAGAGTTTTGGCAGTTGTATCTCTACAAAGCAGCTGGCATGTTTTAGTAGCTGTTTCCTGTCTTAAGAATAGTCAAACGTTTCAAAGAATGAAATTACAAACGAAACAGAGTTTTGGCAGTTGTATCTCTACAAAGCAGCTGGCATGTTTTCGTAGCTGTTCCCTGTCTTAAGAATAGTCAAACGTTTCAAAGAATGAAATTACAAACGAAACAGAGTTTGGGCAGTTGTATCTCTACAAAGCAGCTGGCATGTTTTCGTAGCTGTTCCCTGTCTTAAGAATAGTCAAACGTTTCAAAGAATGAAATTACAAACGAAACAGAGTTTGGGCAGTTGTATCTCTACAAAGCAGCTGGCATGTTTTCGTAGCTGTTCCCTGTCTTAAGAATAGTCAAACGTTTCAAAGAATGAAATTACAAACGAAACAGAGTTTGGGCAGTTGTATCTCTACAAAGCAGCTGGCATGTTTTCGTAGCTGTTCCCTGTCTTAAGAATAGTCAAACGTTTCAAAGAATGAAATTACAAACGAAACAGAGTTTGGGCAGTTGTATCTCTACAAAGCAGCTGGCATGTTTTCGTAGCTGTTCCCTGTCTTAAGAATAGTCAAACGTTTCAAAGAATGAAATTACAAACGAAACAGAGTTTGGGCAGTTGTATCTCTACAAAGCAGCTGGCATGTTTTCGTAGCTGTTCCCTGTCTTAAGAATAGTCAAACGTTTCAAAGAATGAAATTACAAACGAAACAGAGTTTGGGCAGTTGTATCTCTACAAAGCAGCTGGCATGTTTTCGTAGCTGTTCCCTGTCTTAAGAATAGTCAAACGTTTCAAAGAATGAAATTACAAACGAAACAGAGTTTGGGCAGTTGTATCTCTACAAAACAGCTGGCATGTTTCCGTAGCTGTTCCCTGTCTTAAGAATAGTCAAACGTTTCAAAGAATGAAATTAAAAACGAAACAGAGTTTTGGCGACTGTAACTCTACATAGAAGCTGGCATGTTCTAGTAGCTAACTGTTTCCTGTTTTAAGAATAATCAAACGTTTAAAATAATGAAATTCTAAACAAAACAACAATTCTAAACTAACGAGTTTGGGCAGCTGTGGTTGTACATAGTAGCTGGTATGTTTTTATTTTGATTTTTTAGGTTGAGTTGACATGTCTTTGGCTATCAGAACTGACAAATGCAAAAGCAACTCTCGAATGCATATTTGGAAAACCATTTATTATTGAGCAACAAAGGCTGTTCAGCAATTCAGGGTATGCGCTTGTTCAAATAGAACCTATTGAATCTGTTTTTTGACAAGAAACATTGCCTTAGATTGTAACCTCGACAGAGCGGCCACATTTTGGACCAATCTTTTTAGATGGAGTGAGATATCTTATTTTGGTGGGATGGCCCGCAAACTTTGGAGTGATCCGGCCTTAAAAATCCTACGCATATAGGCATGAAATTAATATGTGAACGCGATTCAGTAAGCCAGTTCGTCAATGTGGGTTGAAAAATGCGCATTGCATTTGTGCAAGTTATATTTGTAGAGAAAAGCATACACTCGTTTTGGATTTGAGGCTATCGCACTCTAGTGGGACGAAGACGCTTTCTATGAACCAAGTATCGCACTCTAGTGGGACCAAGACGCTTTCTATCATCTCACCTTTGCAGGCTTTCCAACTGGGGTTGAATATTTCACCACATATGAACTGGCCCTTACTGTCTTTCTCTTGATTTTGAGTTTACAAGGCCTTGCTTGCATTTTAAAATTGCTGTTGGGTATTGCTATTGCGAATGTTATTGCGAAGGGCATATCCTCTAATAAAGGCTTCTCAATATCGTTTAAGAATCCAATCAAATGTAGTTGAAAAAATGCAATTTTTTATGACCATTGAATGGTGGAAATGTTTATCATTGATAAATTTGACGACGGTTGTGGTCGGATGATTATGGTACCGTGATCATCACACATTGGTTACGTCACAAAACATTAGAGACCCAAGCTCTTTTACATCACAAAAAATCTACCTAGTATACAAAAAGCCAATTGCCACACGTTTCGTCCAAAGGGATTTTGTTCAAAATAGTTCTGAAAGGCACTATGCCCCGACGCATTTCGCTGGCAAACCTCCCATTGGTTGGACTACACAATAGACCTATTGTTAAGTATCCAATCGACTAATGTTTATGCTGCAGCGTTTATTGTTAAAGACTCATTGCTAACAATGAGCCTTTGCGAGTCAAATTGTCCAGGCGACAATCCAAACAATGGCAGTAAATCTTACGGATTAACCATAATTGATTTCAGACTTTCTGAAAATGCATTTTGGGATGCTTGCGTAGCGCAATGGCTCATTGTTAGCAATGAGTCTTTAACTCTTCACTGTTGACTAGCGGGATATAAATCCTTTAAAAAACACACAAGTGATATTCATGCAAAATTGTTAGCCTGTGTTTTATCTGCTTTTTGCAATTCTCTTAAAGCTTATCATTTATGCATAGGAACTACATTTGCACAAGGCTGAAGAACCCGAATGCTTTCCCTATCGACATCTTTGACCCAACATTGCAAGGACCAAACTCCAAGAACATTTCCTTCAGGTGCACTACGCAACAGAAACAAATGGTTTGTATTCACTCTTTGTTTTCAGGCTTGCCAAACACGTCTGTTGTCTTTTTCATCTGTATCAGCTATTTTGCTATTTATTTTATAATTTTTAATCCAGTTTTCATAATTAAAAGCAAAATTCTAATCAATCTTTTAATTAATTTCGATATTCCTTTATTCCTTCTGTGTTTCATATTTTAGAGGTTTGGTTTACGTCCAGTGAGAGTACGTGGTTCAAACTGCACATTTTTTATGCGCATATTTGGCGGGAATCACCGTGGAAACTCACTCTAATCGTATTTTCTTCTATATCATCTAGGAAATCCCTGCTGAAGGTGATCTGAGCATTATTTGGAGTATTGTTGACACGAATGACGGTATTACAAATTTTTTTTGTTTTATATCAATTTCACGTTTAGATTCTCACATGATAAACAATACAACGATTCTGCACACATGCACTATGTGCCGACAAATATTGTCAGTCTCCTGATTTCCCATTGGTTTGATTATACAAAAGCTATTGTTAAATTGTCCAATCAGCAACACAAGATTAATTCTCGTTGACTTTTTTATTGTAATAAACACACCACAGGGCCTTTTGTTGACATGAACCATTGATTGATGGTACGTTGTGCCTTCATTTTTTTGAAAATTTCTGTTTGAAAGGTCTATTATAGATGTACTCTTCTGAAAATTGATGTCAAGTCGGACATGGGCACTTATTAGACTTGTTACATGGGCGTTTAAACGAATGCCAGCACTTAGAATATGAAGATGGCTTTGAAAAAGCAAGCATTTTGCAACACACTAAAAGCCTTTTCAACTGTCACTTGTTTTAATGGTGTCTCTGGACAATTGCCATCGGAAAATATCATTAAGATAACCCAGGCTGGGTTATCAATAATGACAACTTGTTTCGGATAATTGGCAGAGCCGAGTCGTCTTTTCATCTAGCAGTTTTTGAATCGATCTACGTACAAAAGAAAAAGCCACTATTTTGTAGACGGAAGGAGTTCGTTTTCTCTCTTAAACTTTAGTAATGATTTTCTTTAAGCACGTGGTACTGATTGGACAACTATTCCGGTCATGTGCTCGCGTTATTCTAATTCACAACTGGGTATATATTTTACATTTTATGCTCACGGACCCTTATTCTGACGTTTTTACTCTGAGAAAAGTCAGCCGAAAGACTTTTAGTATGGTGTATATAAACGATTCCTTTTTTAATGCCATTTTCAAATTTTTTACCGCAAAACTTTTTCTACTTGTATCGTTTATTTTTTCTAAGATCTCACTCGATATGATGTTTTTTATGGTCTTTTTAACCATATGAAGTTCTTACGCCAGCTATACTTATCAATTTATGCTTGTTTTTATGTTTGGTTATTTTTCCCCTAAGCTATTTTATATGGTTGATCTGTAATTACAACTATAATTACCATGATATCTACTATATGATAACACCAATGTAATTTCTATATTCATCTTTTTGTATTCATCCTTTTAGAGTATGAGCCATGTCCAAAATTGAAATGTCGACTGAATGCGAAATTCAAAACCAAGGTTCGTCTACAGTATGATTGAAAAATCGTATCATCGTATGTCTCATTCGGGCATTAAATGTATGCAGGGAAGTCTTTGAGTATTGACTAATCCATTTTTTATTCATTATCCAACCTTTTTTTGAAATGAAATTCATTTTACCTTTCGTTTTGCATATCATGTAATCATGCTAGTTGTATAATTTTTCTTCTCCTCCCTTAACATTATTTTTCTACGGGGACAGAAACCTTGTTGTCTTGAAAGGAATGCTCTATCAGAACACAGCAACAAAACTTCAAATGAAAATTTACCCTTTTTTTAGAAAAGGTACTAAAGTATCAACAAGGCCCGCAACAAATCAAACAAATCTTCATATGTCCCATAATGGTTGAGAATATATGTTTTGTCGGAGTAAATCAGCATCCATCAGCTTTAATTCGACTGGGTCCACCCCTTTGAATATAAGAACATATTTTAGGCGACAAAAAGTAGACAGTGCACTGTTTCAGGGAATGAAATGCTTTTTAAGGAGACTAATGTAAGTATTATCATGAAGTTGCATGCATGGATTAATGTAGATGCTTGGCAAGCAAAATCAGTCGCAATATCTTAAAAAATACTGAATTTGAAAGTCCGTGTGTTTTTAGATATCGAAAAATGTTGAAAGTAATCGTTAGGCCGCTTTGATCACTTGATGACCCATTTTCTAACTTAAAAAGTTGAGTTTTATATTACCAATGAACTATCTTCACTATATAGAGAGAAATCAGGAGCAGACTAGTAATGTTGTAGGATAATCCTCCTTTTCCTTTCGTTTATCTCTGAATGTTTTACGTTAGGATCAAGATGAAACGGGAAATTTCAGTGAGTGCTTTGACATCGCATATTCAAAAGTAAGTGACATGCAAAGTTTAATTTATTCAGTAACAAATGTATGAAGAAGATTTGTTGACAAACTTGACCTCACCTACAAAATCTTTTACTGCCTGTGCACCGTTCAACATGGTTTCACGGTATATAATACACAAGTGAAATTATAGGGATTTCTTATTACGGGGTACGTATTAAGTTGTGGTGTTTCAGTTTTAATGGTCAGCACCAGAACTAAATTTTCTATCACCGTAAAAAAACTTGATGCCCTGAAGGATAGAGTTTAGACTTAATGCATCTAACTAACTGTCTTGAATACTTGGACATGGAACTGATTGTGACTTGGAGAGTTTCTTATCAACTAATGCTTGAAGCTTCTTCGTATAAGCACCGCCTTCCAAGAATATTTATCGATACCCCCCCCCCCTTCCGATTAGTGCAATTCATTCGTTGATAAATCCAGCAAGTCTTTAATTTTTGATAATGAAACACTCGATGTTGGGATGTTTAATGAATGAAACAGGAAATAGGTGCCTTATCATCGAAAAGAGACATTGCCACCCCATCTTTTCAAGAAGGATTTTCGAGGCTATTTCTTAAAGGCTCTTGTGCAACCGACATGAGAAATTGATTGTGTTTTGTATTTTAATGCAGTACGATATTAGGCCGCTTTTGAAAATATAGCCGCAATGCATGCCGGTTGCGCAAGATCCTCTAAGGTTGACGTTAATCGGTACTTTGTTTGTTCATCTTAGGGCTCTTTTTCCTTATACGATTCTTGTAAAGAATTGAGTGTATGTCCAAAGGCATCAGATATTCTAATGTTTTCTTTTCGATTTATAATGAAGCATTTGTTGACGATCAGTTCTCTCTCTTATAGCCACTTTTTGGAGTGACTACATGCATAAAAGCTGGAGAGAATGGATTTTTGGTCCAGGGCATGTCATATACAATGGAAGTAATAATAGCAAATATGAATAAATTGCCACGAAGCTACTTGAATGGAAAACTATTTTACAAACTTGTTAAAAGCGAGCAATGGGAATTTGATGATGATGAATGCAGAAAATCAGAAATACAAGATGAGTACTGTCATTTCAGTTTTACAACATCGGTGACTCCTTGTCAAAGTGGGCAGCTACGTCATCCCGAGGTGTCCTTGTCTAAAAAATTAGACGATTCAATGCAGATGAGAAAGTTCCGTAGTCGATCCAGCTTGAAGAGCATGAGCCTTTCGTCAAGTAGAAGAACGTCAGCGATACTTTCTGATGGAATGGATATGCCTTTTTCCTTTGGTGAAATTGTCCACACAGAGTGCGCCAAGGTTTTAAAGGTATGTTTCTTAAGCTACATTTGAGTGAGGAAAATGCCTAGAATGACAATGCGCTTTAGCAGAATATGTCTTTGTGCGGCAGCTCTTGGAGAAATGAAAATTTCAAACATATTAGATAATTTGTTTAATTTAAAGATTTAAAATGAATACAATTTACCATTTATCGGTTTTTTGGCAGATCCTCAGCAGATCCATTTCCATTTTCTATTTACATAAAAAAGTTGCAAAGGAACAAATACAAATTGCATTTATGATCTCATTGTTATGACTGTTTTTATCCATTCACTTTATGTTATAAAAATATTAACCGAGGCGTAATATTCTTAAAAATGAACTTGCAATTAACACAATTCAGCACTATGATAAAGCCTAAGCGACAAACAATCATCTTAAAAGTATATATCTTTAAAACTCCCAAATTTCTTATATAAACTTGACACAATCTGCAAATAAAAACTTTATACAAACTTGACTTTTTCTGTGCCTTGATTCTCTTCTTCTTCGTTCAAACGGAGACAACTAATAAGCGTTTTTAAGTTCACATTTTCTCCATGCCAATCACGTAAAACAGAAATCCTTCCAAAACGAAGTTCTCACAATATTACAAAAAGAAACGATATAACAATCCGTACATTGGGTAAATTAAGAGTTTGGGAATATGTTTTGTCTTAAACCAAATCGGTCAGCTTTGAGATTTCATTAATTTAAAAATCAGCTTATCTGCTTTAAGATGCAAAACTTTCGTTTCCGTAATTTGATTATTCCTAACACGTATTTTTAAGGTCATATGTAACAGCAAAGAGGCTCCAAATCCTGAGAATCTTATCAACCAATATGTGAATGGTGAGTTTAATTTATGCAAATTTATTACATGCACATGCATATTCATCATAACATTGCCAATTTTTTTTCGTGATACTAGTGGAAAACTCTGACAAAGTCATTTATACAGCTTTTAAACCTTCTTAAAGACTGGTATTTTTTCTTGAGAACTGGCAGCAACTATTAAGCTTAAATATAATAAAATACTATTGTTATATTCTAGAAGATTGCAAACTAATATTTTATAAAGCTCAGAATTTAGTAAATCATACTTCCATTTTCCCTCTTCATCAACGTATGACATATTTTCACGTTGCATTGCCGTTTATGTTGCAAGTTAAAGTTCAAGTTGCCTTGTCTCTTCAATTCCAATAACAATTGCCTCTTTATTTCCAATTACGTTGCCTTCTGCGTTGCTCCTTGCGTTGCCGCTTAAGTTCTTTTCACGCTGCTTTGATAAATAGTTTCAAAGTACTTTTGTTAATCCAGATTTGCTTCTTTGATAAATTGAACAACACAGTTGCATCTTCAAATTTAAGATTTAAATTCATATTTCTGTTTTTTGTACTTGGTATCTTGTCAGCTTCTATTTATGCTTGCCCTTGATTGTTTCCCGTAGATGAAGGAGTAATCGACGCCGTTGTTTTGGAAACGATTTCTTCGACAGAAAGACAGAGACAGGCAAGTTTTCTCTTATCGAAGAAGATATTGATGAAACTTGTTATTTGCTCACACTAAATTCGACCATGTTCATTAGAGGGCAGTGGATAGATTGAGTATTCTATGCGTTGTGGAAACAAATCTACTGGCCAGCTATTCAGGCAGGTATCAACATGCACGAAGCCACGGTTTACCTAGAGTTTTGTTAGCCCCTGCTAGAAGGGCCTGGGAATCTGTTTGTAGGAGACTTTTTTTATGTTTATGTTTATTTGTTTTGCCCTATTTTATCAACAAAGGTATTTTATCTTTCAGAACCATATTCACGAGTTAATCAACACCGAAAGAAACTACATTTATGATCTGAAAGCTACACTGGAGGTATGGAATTTTGCTCATCTTCGTGTTTATTTCAAAATCCAAATTAAATTTGGAAAAAATTTTGCACAAGTTTTTTAAATCTTATGTTATATTCCAACAATTTAGAATTTTATTTCTTTACTTTTGTAAGAAAATATTCTTTGTGGCCTCAAAAAATTTCCAGTACTTTAACCCATTTCTTTAACACATTCTTCGAATTATTTTTTGCCTTCGCAAAGTTCTTGCAGTAATTATATTTGGAAAGGTTTTGAACAAGTTTTCAAATATTTTCGAAAAACAAAAAAAGAATTTTTTGATAAAAATGAACTTCCAAATTCTTATTCTTGGCTATTTCATCCAAAATTTTTCCCACTAGAGAATGGCATATCAGTGTCGATTAGTGTTTCACGCCTGTATTCCTTATAATTTACCTATTTGCTACAAGCACTCAAACATCAAGCACATGCTCCATATTTCTAATTAGTCTTCATCTATCTCTTAGTTAAAGTGCAATTATTTTTGCCACAGGTTTTCTACAAACCTATGGCAGATGCTGGTATTCTATCAGAAGATGAATTGAGGACAGTTTTCATAAACTTAAAGGAAGTTGTTTTCTGTAATATGAAGCTATTAGAGTGAGTACTTTTCTGTCCATTTTACATTTAGCAAAGATTTTAAGATTGTGTTAGATTGTGTTGAAACAGATTGCAGTGTGACGCAAAAGGACGTATTTTGTCTTGAGACGAGAGGAATGCGTTCAAAAACATTAAATTTGTTTCACAAACATTTTCTTACTTAATACCAGCAAAGAATTGAAGATTATGATCTAAACTCAAATAAATTAAATTTTCGAAGGGCGTTGATGAAGCGAAAAGAAATGTCGACGGACAATGTAGTTGAAGTAATTGGCGATATTCTAATTGAGCAGGTATGTCATTATACTCTGAAACTTTGCTATAGCAGACATTTTTTTTGGGACCAGATCTATTGTCGCTAGTGGGGAGGCGAACATTGTCTGTAGGTTGCCTCTACATTACTTAAGGACAAAACTATTTGTTCATTATTGACTGTTTTAGTATGTTTCCTAGAGGTTGCTTCTTGATGTCCATCTTAGTTGTTTTTTATTTGCAATTGTTAATTATGAGAAGAATCATTTATAGGAATTTTCCTTTATGGGCTGGTGTTCATAAATTGAAAATATCCATTTGTCGGCTTGACCTTTGCTAATAGTTGTGAATCTCATGAATTAAATTTCTTAAAAACGAGAAGGCTTTTTCTATTCCTGGAAACAATTTTTGAAGAAATAGTTTCTTCGGATTGAGGCTCCCTTTTTCGATGCTTTCTCTTTTACAAAAAGAAAAGATGAATAGCCAACTCTTTATCGCAATTTATAATTTTCATCTCTTTTAACTCTGTTACTATTAACTGCTTCTATTATCCTATAGTTTCTTTCTTTCATTGGTTTTGTTTGATTTTTCATTCCCCCTTTCTATCTCCCCTTGTGTTTTTCAGAGAGACAAATCACATAGCTTTTCTCACCCTCTCTTCCTCGCTTCTCATCTCTTTATCCTTTCCCGTTTCTTTATCGTTTCCCGTCTCTTTCTCGTTTCCTGTTTCTTTATCGTTTCCCGCCTCTTTCTCGTTTCCCGTTTCTTTATCGTTTCCCGTTTCTTTATCGTTTCCCGTCTCTTTATCCTTTCCCGTTTCTTTATCGTTTCCCGTCTCTTTCTCGTTTCCCGTTTCTTTATCGTTTCCCGCCTCTTTCTCGTTTCCCGTTTCTTTATCGATTCCCGTTTCTTTCTCGTTCCCGTTTCTTTATCGTTTCCCGTCTCTTTCTCGTTTCCCGTTTCTTTATCGTTTCCCGCCTCTTTCTCGTTTCCCGTTTCTTTCTCGTTTCCCGTTTCTTTATCGTTTCCCGCCTCTTTCTCGTTTCCCGCCTCTTTCTCGTTTCCCGCCTCTTTCTCGTTTCCCGTTTCTTTATCGTTTCCCGTTTCTTTATCGTTTCCCGTTTCTTTATCGTTTCCCGTCTCTTTCTCGTTTCCCGTCGCTTTTTGAGCCCTGGCCTAACGTTATTTGCATTCTTATCTAGATCCCTAGATTCACACCGTATTTAGAGTTTTGCAGCTGCCAGATGAAATCATGTAAATTTGTACAAAGAAAAAGCAAAACTGTGGAGTTTGATGAATTTGAAAGGGTAAATCGTCTTCATAATTTCTTTTCTCAATCTAATAAACAGTTATGGGTGATGCTGAATAATGTAAATAATGAGTTGGAAATTTAAAATAGTTAGTGTTAATCATAGTATTAAACTAGCTTGTGTCTCCAGTTAGTCCAGAAATTAAATCAAAATGAAGTAGCTTGCAAAATGCTAGTGAAATTCTTGAAGAACTGCCGATGATTGTTCCCCTCATAGTCAATTTACTTCTTTACCCCTTATAGCTTTTTTCAACTAATGTCGACGTTTTTGTTAATTGAGCTTTGCAAAAGTAAGACATGTACGCACAGCCATAAGCAAGGTTTTATTTGGTCATCCATTCTTAATGATAGAAGAAAGTAGTTGTCTAGGAGAAAAGATTACTAAAAATGGCAAAATATTAAGTTTTTTTACAGGAATTTTTGCAAAACTATTTTACTTTACGAAACCATTCATCAACAAACCCATATGTTAATGTATTTTATAAATTAGAAATGCACCGTGGACAAAAGATTGCGACAAAAACTCCCACTGAACAGCTATCTTGCAAAACCAATGCAAAGGATTACAAAATATCCCTTGATTATAAAGCAGGTGGGTTGTTATCATTATCTAACGAAGCTTTTATCTTATGTTAGATTTGATACTTTATTGAAGCACCTTGTCAATTCTATTTGCTTTTGATGTTACATTCGATGTTACATCCTGGTGACAGATTTCGATATTTGGTATAACTATACTTGTTGAAGTTGATGCACTTGCAGTGATATACAGAAAGGCTTAATGAAAGAGAAATAATTTAGGTTTTATCTTTGTGCGAGAAGAGAATGATACTAATGCAGGTACTATATTAATTGCCAGAAATTTACACGAATATTAAGAAGTACCGCGTGCCTATTCGGTCGATCTACATACAAATGAAAAAGCTGCTATTGTGTAGACAAAAGAGGTTCGTTTTCTCTCTTGGACTTCAGTGGTGATTTTCCTATATACACGCCGTACAGTGTTGACATTTATACCGATGATTCGCAACCGGGTATATGGGTATATCTATTATATTCTTTTGGACCCTTATGACGTTTTATACTCTAAGGAGCGTCAGACGAAAAATCTTTTAAATTTTTCCTTTTTCAAGCCATTTTCATTTTTGTAACTGCAAAAAACTTTCTCACATATTATGCTTATCCAGTTGTTAAATCCAAGTAAAACCATGTTGATACTGTTTTTGTGTTATTTTCAAATGTGTTTACTTCGATTTCAGATAATAAAATACACACCAGAAGACCACAGTGATCGTGGGAACCTTGAGCAAGCCTTGAGTAAGAGTGAAGAGCTTTGTTCAAAGGTTTGTATTAATTCTATACTCAATAACAAATATTTTTCAAGAAGTAGTCCAAATGCTTTTTTTTCTTGCCTCAACAAAATCATATTGTCTTCCTGGTGTGCCCTCTCTTTGCCCTTCGATTCTATTTTTGCTTATTTTTTGTTTATTTCTACAATTGTTGATAAAACATTTCTCTTTCACAAATGTTTTTAAAACGATACTTGGTAGATTGAATACATAGGGTACTTGGCCAAATAGCCACAATGTTTTAGCGAGTTTTTTGAATATTTTGTTTCCTTTTTGTTTGTAAACCTGGAATTTTTATGTTAATGGTTTCTTATATTTCTAAATTTTTATCAATTCTGTTGCATATCAAATTTGAATACGAAGTCATAAAATAATTTACTTTAAATGAGATTCATAAAAATATTGATGCGTTACAAATATTAAGAGAGATGTGGGCATGTCTGTCATTATTCTTCTTATAGATATTTTATTTGTCATTATCGCGAAATCTTGAAGTGACTGGCCTGAGCTAAAAGTCCAATGCAATTAATAATGGACAGTTCACATCTATTCAGTTACACTGTGGTCATTATTGATAATTGATCAAAGGGCAGCCTGTCTTCACTTTTCTATTTCTTCTGCAGTTCTCTTTATTCTTTTTCTTATTCTTTTTCCCTCTCCATCTCCCTCCCAAATAGCCCTGTGGAGGAGAGTGGGCAGCCTGCATGAAACACCGCAATATTATGTGACAATGATCAAATTGATTTTCGTCACGCTTTGAATTTTTAATAGTATTCACTTAAAAAAAACCATAAAAAATCTTCTCCAAAACACTTTTCAAGTTGTTTGAGATTGATGAATGGATAATTTTGTTTTACTCCCTTTAGCATATGCCCTCAGTCTCGTTTGAAGCTACTTACAGCAACGTTTATTAACAGTCTATAAATAGCAGTGCAATACAATACACTACACTCCAATCTAATACAGCACAATACAATACTACATACAAGCAATGCAAAACTATACAATAAAATAAAATACAATGCAATACTATATTATGCATAACAATACAATAATTATTTTCTCCCAGTTTTTCTATTCCAGTCTATATAATTAATTTTCATCGTCTTAGCCAATTTTATTTTTTTATTCAAATTGAAAACATATCAATTTTTCAATTTAAGTATGTTCGTCTAAGGTAAACGAAAACAACAGATTGATTGAGAGTCTGAGTATGTTGAACTGGCTTCAAGTTCATGTGGATTTGCAAGGTCTTGGAGAGGTTTGTTCGATTATTCTCAGTCATTTTCAAATTATGCAAAGAATTTTCAGATTTCATGATTTCATTCCGTTGACGCTGAACAAAAATGATAGTTATGAAGGGCGCCATTTTGCTGACGCCTCCCCGGCGAAAAATGCCGCCACTGCATTCCACACTATCGCCTATTTTGATCGCCTATGTTTTCTTCTCCACGTGCAAATGTTGAGAGCGTTTTAACACCCTGTTTAGTGATGTTGAGTGGTGTTGAGCGGTGTTCAGCGATGTTGAGAGGAGTGTGAACAGTTGCAAAAATGTTCAGCGGGTCGACTCAACATTTCAATTGTTAAAGGTGCTGTTGAGAGATGTTGAGAGCGTTTTAGCATCCCATACAACAATGTTCAGTCAGCGCAAGCGCACTAGACTTAGATATTGCGCGCCAAAGAGAGGCTTCAACGCGTCAAGATCTCAGATCAGACACCCGTTTTAACATCCCAATTCAACATCATTAAATATCACTAAACATCACTGTACAAATGTTGAGCGATGTTCAGTGAAATGTCAAGAGCGTTTTAACGGGGCTTAACTTGTCTTACATAACTGGATCATTTTCAATCGAATCTCTGAACGTCACTCTTAATGCTTTCACCAGTACTTTGGTTGGCTTTATGACATCAAGCACTGTGCAGTAGATTGGACAAAACAATAATCTATAGTTTTTCTTGAAATTATTTTATTTCATTTTTTTAGACTTTGGTGTTCAATTCAGAGACAAAATATGTTGGTCAAAGGACTTGTTTGCACCATGTTACGCTCTATGTGGTTTGTGATTCAGTAACTGATTCGTTTAGGGTTCCATTATGTAGATTGATATAACGATGCCTCTATATAAATCCTATCTGGACATTACTTTAAGAAGTAAGAGTTGCTTCGTAAGGACTACCAAGATAAACAACATGACAATGTTAGTTGACTTAACAATATACAAGAAAATTTTGTCAATGTATTTTTTCTATAAATTAAAGTTTCAGACTAAAGATATGTCTCACATTTACAACAAGATAAAAGTATCCCACATTTTATAAATGGATTAATCAAGTTAAACTGTAAAGTGATGAAAACATATACTCCTTTTTAAAACCTTCTGTACTGCAAATTTTTCAGATTATGCCAAAATGTGTAACCATAGAATTTTAAATGAAATTGTTTCAAGCACCTATCCGATATAAAATGTTGACATAAAGGTGAACGAAAATTTTTAACTAAGCATGAATCAAAATTGAAGTAAGAGAAAATGACACATTTGATTGGTTCCTTGTTTTAACCAATCGGCGCGGTAGCAGCCAATCCATCACATTGTTTACGAATCCAAGAAGGTCTAGAAACCTTACACTGTTACTTCTTGGATACTTAAGATGTAATTGCGTCACATAAATTACTTCTTCGGAGGAAAGTCTAACTGTAACCTGCAAATTATGTTTCGTTAAGCAAGCTCAATCCAGTTTTAACCCTGATTCAATCCTCTGTTGATTGCATCAAACGTGTCCATAAACTGGTAAAAATTCAGTCCAACAATGTATCATTTCATACTTTAAGCTAACTTGCACAGTAAAATCGATCCTTTAATTTTTTATGTAGAAAATCGAATTATTTTCCATTCATTTTTTTAACGGTTCTCGTCATTTTACGGAACTTACCGCTCAATGGATTACTTTTTGTTGTCTATCAAAATGTATGAAGATGAATGTACTGGCGTAATCGTACTAAACATGGTTCCAAAAGATACGAAGAATTCTAAAGAATGCCATCAATTTTCTTAATGATAGTGCAATCTGAAATAACTGCAGTATGGAGCTTTTGGGAAACACATTTGCTTTTGATAGGTGTCTCTTTTATTCTTCTAGCATGGATGCAATGAAGAGCTCCGGGCATTTTTATTCAATGACTTTTTGCTATTGACAAGATACGATGTAGCTGGTCGTATTGATACAGATTTAACTGAAAATTCTGAGGCAAAAACTAAACCTGATTGTTTCATTTATGAAAAGGTTAGTATATGGAGCCTTTTTATTCCTTTTAATGTTATGCTTTACAGTGACTGTAGCAATGTATAGAGAAGCAAGGAAAAGAAACTGACGATAACTCAGTTACTCTCCATTTTTTCAACTGCCTTTTACTTGAATCCAGACTAATTTCAATATTTAGTTAGCCAATGTTCCAGCTCCAATTCCTCTCTAATATGTCAAGATCTTGGAAGCAAAATAATTTTGCAACGAATACTGACACAGGAACTTTGCTACCTAACTATAAAATTAGAGAATTGGGAGTTCAGAAACCGCTTTCTTTTGGGTTCTTGATGGTACGAGAAATTGCTCTGGTCACTATGAATTCCACCTAGCAACAGAAAGAACAGCAGACAAAATATTTCTGTTTATAACTGGCCCTTTTCCTCTTTTTTAAAAGTTCTTTGCCTAAATTTCCCAGTGTCACGTTTTAGGATTTCTTTTGGTTTCCTTTGCTAAGTATTGGAAAGTTTCATTAATCCTTTTGGTCTTATGACACTTCAATATGCAGGCATCATTTGTAGGCATGTGGGTTCAAAATTGTTTCTTTAAACTGATATCTTGAATGATTTGTTATCGCTTTTTACGAATTCTTTGCTGACAAGGGTCGGCTTCTGAATTATGTTGCAGAAAAGTTGCAGTAATACATCCTTGACTGCTGTTTTTGTTATAATCAACACCTCGTGTTTTGCCTTGGTATCAGATTTTCAAAAAATTCCGGTTGTCTATTAGTTTGAAAATGACGTAAAATAAAGTACAATAGTATATGATATAGAATAACAGAAGGTGCATTTTAGAAGAGTGGCTTTTATAGAATGGTCTCTTACTTGTTGTCTAAAAATATTTTAATTTTCAGCCAATATTGTTGGACAAGTCTCTTGTTGTCAAATTGCCTGTTGCTACAGAAGGTAATCACCTTTCCATTTTATGCAATGTTGTCTAGAATGACTTTTCTTAAGTGTTTGACAAGTGAAAATAGGTCATGATAAGCGAAGACTAAGATTTCATATCTTCTCATAATGATTTCCTTTAGCAAAGGAGTTTGTTTGATGTTGCGTTTGTAGATTGATCATAATGGAGAAAGTTTGCTTTTATGTAGCAACATGTATATAAATAATCACATGTAACTAAGCAAATAGAGTTTGCAAACGTGACGTCACAAAAATCCGCTTCAGAATTTACTTGAAACAACTCCATAAATTACCTTTAATTATGGAAAATCAGCTAAATATGATGACCAATGAAAGATTTGGATTTTGCTAACAGATTAGTGTTATTTGGCTTAGGTTCATAACTCTATGAACAGAGACAGAATCACAGTGATTTCATTGGGAAAGAGCCTGTGCTTATGTGACCACATCTCAGTCAATTTCTAATACATTTAATTAATTTTGCATATTATAAGGTATTTCCTTATGCTCTTTCGGGCTATGTGATCTATTTAAAATGCTAACAATAAATTTTGTGACATCGTCACTTTAGAACTTTTTTTTAACAAACTTAAAGGGCATATTTCGCATTGGCAATTGGCTGATACAAAAAAGGGTTTGGGGTGTAGTTTTACTGTTTCGTGACTTTTCATTTCTTTCTTGGTAATTTTTACTGCCGTGAAAATTCAACCTCGATCCTGTGTTTTGTACTGAAAAAAAAGATATTGTATTGTATTGTTTTAGCCAATCAGGTTCACGACACATGCCCTTTGAGCTTCACATATTTTGTTTTGCATCTTTAATTAGGCAATTATAAACCTTAATACCTAGACAGTCACTTGATACTGGTAGCAGTTAGGCAACCACGACAGAACTCCTTAAATTTATGTTATTCTTTTCGATTTTATCTTCTGCTCTGACAACTAATCTTTTTGTCTCAAAAACAGTTAAGCAACACAACATCAAGCTTTGCTTGTTACCAATCTCCAATGGCAGACATTTTTCATCACATTTTTTGCCTTTCTACATATCTGAGTCTATGAAAGCCAGCTGAGTATTAACATGGCAATTAATTTTTTCAATGCAATGTACAATGAATTTTTTTCATACATATCTAAAATTTCATTTACAGCCGAGGACACCTTGTTTTGTCTAATAAGCAATGGTGTGACGCACGAACTACGAGCCGAAAGCAAGAATGAAAGGTATGAAAGAAGGAAAATACTTTTGTACCTAACCCTAATTTGAATAATTCTATTATATCTTTGTTTGTGCGAAAGTTTGCGCGAAAATTTATGGGGCATGTAAAGTCTGGAAAAATACCAAAAATTGCACGAGTATGTGTGGATTCAAAAATGCGGATTAGGCTAGGAACAGGAAGAAAAGCTACAAACCTTCACTTTAAATATACCATCAGGCACAAATACTGTTCCGGTAAGCAGAAAAAACCCTTTGCTTTGTGTGCATAAGACACATTTTATCTTTTTTTAGCAATCTTGGCTTGTTATACTGCTTATTGTCATATCATAGCTTTTCCAGAGTGAGGAACCTCCATATGAGTAGTTTTTTGTGCATTAGCTGTATGAGCTTTACAATCCAACTCAATTCATTATTCGTAACCTTTTAGAAATATGTTGCTAACGAAGTTGAAAGAGGCGAGAACCCTGTTCATTGAGAAGGAGCGACTCCAAGTAGCTGAGAAAGGCTCGACCAATGGTATTGAATTTAGGCCTTGTTTTTTTGTACCTGATGTTATTCTTTGGGCATCTCACCATTAATAAATAAGTTTATAAGGAAAATAAGTCATAAATGGTCTATGATGAATCTTTGAAATGGAATACTACACATATCTGCTATATCAGTTTAAGAGCAAAGTTTCTCTAAAGAATCTTATTAGAGTGAAGCACAAATCATATGCAAGTTCATCATTTTCCTTTAACGAAATGTATTGCAACAGTGCTTTAGTTTTAAAGTGAAAACCACATAATCAGTTCAATGTGAAAATGGCAAAACAAGGCATTATGAAGCAATGTATCCAAATGATTCATAACTGATACATCATAAGATCAATTGAAATATAATCGTTTGATTGTAATCCTTTGTTTATTTGAATTTGTCTGTTGAGTAACAAAGTAATTATTGTTGACGTCAAAAAGGGGTGAAGAAAGACCTTGCGCCAGAAAAAGAGCAATTAGAGAGATATTCAAGGCTTCTTTCTAGGAGAAGCAGATATTTTTCAAGCAAAACAAGAAAGTCATGTGGACTTCTGTAAACATTCTAAAATGTATTTTTTCCTGACTATCAATCATATAGCAACACGATACCACAGGGAACAACACATTACTCTTCAAGGTATTGCATTTTGCCCTGATCTCTCAATTTTGCATATCCACGTATTTGATTAAGACAACTTTGTATTTAATTTTTTTTTTCTTTTCCCAGTACCATTTACGATCATTGATGGAACGAGCAAGATTACTCTTGTCGTTGTCGAAGGCTTCTGTGTGGATGATGATACTTCAGCGAATAAATCGGACCTCTATTGTCAAGTAAGGCTAGGGCAGGAACAAAATCACAGAACTCCGGTGATGTTCAGCACATCAAACCCAAAATGGTTTTCAAAAATGGAATTTTATGTCCAAAACAAGGAAGATGATATTCTGGAATTGCAAGTCTTTAACCATAATTTCTTTTCACCTGACGGTAGGCGATTGTTTTATCACTTTGTGCCAACATTTACTTCTGCTTCACAAACTCAAATTGAAGTGAATAATAGCTAAAACGTAATGTTTTTACCTCACTAGATTTTCATGGTTGTGAGACATTATGATCTTTCAATGAAATCGATTGATTTAACAGCCATTGCGTCGGATCTGTGCAGTTACCTATTTTATAGAGGGGTAGTTTTTATATAATTTACCTCCGCAAGGCTTTCATTAATATGTTTCGGGGTATAATTACATGTCTGTTGTTTGAGTGTGCCTGTTACGGGGAAGCATTTGCCTTGTGACTCTATTGTGACCGTTTTAATTTGTTTCAGAAAATTTTTCAGTGAATTGTTTTTCATTGATATTTATTAAAATGTATTAGTTCGGTGGATATTAAAAGAATTGAGGTATCTGATCATTGAGAAACCCCCTTGAATTGCAGATTTCTTCGGAAGTATAGCAGTATCAGTTTCAAGTTTAGTGGAAAATGGGCCTTGCACCAAAAAGTTGTTCTTCCATCAGAAAAAAGTTGGTGGTATTGTTGTGAGGGCTTCATTGAACAGTTCCTAGGGTATCTTAATGACTATTATATAAACATGTTGTAAGTTTGTATATTTTGAGCAATGATAAGATATAATGATTGCTTCGAAAATGCAATTTGAAAACACGAAAAAATTAGTAGATTTGAAGGCTTTTAAAAGCATTTTATAAAGTGTTAGCAGCTTAAAAAGCATTTCAACTGTTATTAAGGGAAGATAATTTTTATGTTTCCTTTAAAATGTATTCTATAACTGATAAAATCATGCTTAGGTCCTGAGTAAATTGACTTTTTTGTATATAAAGTAGTTCAGCAGTTCAATTTAGAATGTAAAGGTCCGTTTCCTGATCAATTTGCTACATTACTCCTAGCACCATCAAATTGTGCTAGAGTGAAAATGACACGTCTCCTGCAAGGTCCAAATTTAGAATCGCAACTGAAATCACCCGTGGGAATTGAGTGCCTTTGCGTTCTACCAAGATGCAGTCTACGGATTCTGCAAACAATCTTTTGGTGGTATTATACTTGAAAATGGCTTTGAATAAAGCAAACAAAGCAAAGCCATTTACGGATTCTAGTAAAGTTTTCAGGCTTCCTAGACCAGCAGGTGGAGGACCATAGAAATAAGAATTTACCGACGAAAATATAAATGATTGGATAAAACACCCCGTATACCCTCGTCAGATAAGCTCCTTTCCGCCGTGCACACAAACAAAATAAAATGCATAGGAACATTTGTAAAGCAAATGTCTTTGACACTTATCGCACTAGTCTGCAAATTCCATCCGTGGAAATCGACCCCTCATTCACTGTCGCTCGTCTCGATCGATACATAACGAATTATAGGCAAGTTTTCTGTGTAGTTTCAGTTGGTTCATGCAGTGTTGAAGAGGGGAATGAAAATTTCAGGGTAAACAAAGTTTTCGAAATCGTCACGTCCATTCCTACACTGGGTGCAACAGCCGCGTAAAATCGCGCGTGGAAATGGCAAAGAGGGGGGAGAAGCGGAGAAGCGGAGAAGCATGTGAGAGGTCCTTTTTGAATGTTAACGTTAATAACGTCAGCATCAATGCAAACATTGCGATTATTTAGTATATGATTTTACATTTGATTTAAACAAATCTTTAATGTCATAAAAATAACAAGCTTTTAATTTATACCGTGTATTTCACTTTAATAATAATATTATCTTCGAATGTGTAACATTTTTTAGTATGTAACTCCAGGACTGCGCATAGCAGCATTAAGTATTTCGTGTCGTGTTTGTTGTGTTTAAAAACCGATTTATAATACACTCATTTTATAAAAGAAACTGTTTGCAAGAAACCAAGCCCCAAGATGACCAAAAGTTAAGAAACCATGCTACCCCCAGCCTTAAATTCTTTTCGACGATTAGGCAACTCTTTCCTGTTTAATTAATGAACATAGATAAATGGAAAGAAGAGCCCCTCGTGACTTTTAACACGCTTTTTTACAAGAACAACCCCCAGAAGAAACTTCGAGCTGATATTTGCCCAAAAATAAGAACTACATAAGAAACAAGGCAAGCTGAAATTCAGCAAAACTCAAGAAATAAATACCAGAAAGAATTTAAAGATGAAAGAATAGCTAAGAGAGCGATAAGCAAAAGGCATTAATTACTTTATCAAGCACAAGTTATGTCCGGACACTACTATGCCCGCGGAATTTCATTTAAGAAATAAGAAAAAAGGTTAAAGACGTTAGGATGAATTCCTGCGAAAAAATAAGAAACGCCAGGCTGAATCTAGAAAAAAGCGTGTAGGTGTCTATCTCATGTTATCTGGTGTTATCTCATGTTATCCCATTTTATCTCATGTTACGTTTTTATGTTTCTAAAAGTAACTCGATAGCATTTGAGAGACTATTAGCATTGAAATAAGCAAAATGGTTAAGAACCTGAATGCTAATCCCAGGCAAAATGGGTGTACATCATAAATTTTGACGTTTTATGAAAGTAAAATTAATCAGCCAGTTAGTTAGCGTAGCTATATCAATTAATTTTTTCCCTTTCATTGCAATTTAATATATTATAAATATGTTTAGTTTATTCTATTTACAGCAATGGGAATTTAAAGATATTGTTGATTTCATAAAGGTGGTATCAATTTGGTCAATGTGTAATTGTTTTTTTTCTGTTTGCCCATTCCACTTAGCTAGGTATTTTGTTGATTTGGCTTTTTAGGTTAGTGGGGGAGGGGGGGGGTAATCAACCAAAGAGCCATGAATTTTAGGGAAATTGACCATCTTTCAAAAGGATTTTATTAAGATATAAGCCCGTAAACCTCTCCCCCGTGTGTTTATTGTTTACCAAAAGGTACCAACTGATGGTCATCAATTTAAATTATTCCGTGTCCCAAAAACGCGGTTGGAAGACATCACAAAAAAATGCTGCAATGTAAAAAATATTCCCAGACCTATTTTGGAAAAAGTTTGGTAGGTATAACCTCATAGTTGGTTATCAAAAATATGCACTACTTTAAATCATTATGAGTTTCATGTACAAATGTTTTAAAATTTGATTTTTTTAAAAATCGGACAGGAGAAAGGGAAAATACTTTCGAGCAGATGTTGATTATTTTGCGAATAGATAATTATCATTTCCTAATGCCTGTGCTAGTATGGCGATACACAGGACTACTTTGTGTTTGACGATGATGTCCCATTCCCATCTTCAGCTACAAGTATATATATTATTAAATATAATGTTTTCTAAAATCATATTTCATTCCATTGGATTCTCATCTTCGTGTTGTCCTGTTGGTGACTATTTTTCATATTATTACTTATTGCAACATTCACAGACTCTAGCGGACAGCATATCCTGTGTTTCTTCCTTCTCGCACACTTCCTATAGATGGTTGTCATTTTGTGAGTATCGAGCGCTCAATTGATGTCAGTCGATAGCAGACCTCATTAGCCGCAAGTCACAGTGAGGCGGGTAGCTTGGCTGTGAACCCAAATGCTTTTGTAATGGAAACTTTGGTCCCGTTTTCTTGTCATTTGTGTATTAACAGAGGCTTAGCAATTGGGTAGACAGTGTAGGCAAATATGAGGTATACGTTTTGTTAGCTACATGTTTAGGCGGAAAGTGCTGAGCTGAGAGTAGCTTTTCTATATCATAACCCAGTAGAGTTGCTTGAAGGGTGGTTTGACTCTTGTGAGTACAGAGATCTAAAAAGATAAGAGAATTAACTACAATGAACTCATCGAAACCTTCGCAGGCAAAAAAGCCAGAATGTGTTTGTAATTTATTGTTTGGGATGTCCATGGTAAGCTATTAATTGGAAAACATTTTAATTAGGTACATGTCTGTTGCAGTCTTTTAGCAATTGGTTTTTTGTTTGTTCTTGAAACTTTAATGAGTATGGTATTAATTGGAAAACATTTTAATATATATATTTATATGTTTGTAACAGTTTTAAGCATTTGGTTGTTTACTTTTTTGTTCTTTGAAATTTTGTTAGTAAGGTACAAATTGGCAAAGATTTTAATTAGGTACATGGTTGTTGGTACATGTAACAGTGTGTTTGAGCGGTACATGTTTGTTTGGGGTGCCTTTATTTTTTAAATTTTGTTCGGTAGGGTGCTAATGCAATTTTTCACTTTATAATGGTTTGTTATTGAAAGGTTTTTGTTCGATTTTGGTGGTTTTATGAACGAATAAACTTTTCAGGCAGGATCGTTTAATTAGGGGGGCGGGTAACCCGGGGGGCAATAACTTGGTTTGCCTTTGTACCGCAAGATACATTGCTACTCGAGGTTTTAATAATAGACCCTTTCGGCCAATCCAAAGTTATCTATAGGCCCTGGTGTAGAAGTCGGAAGTGAAAGGGGGCGGCAAATGGAATCCTAACAATCTGCGCCCAACAGTGGTCCATACGGATTCCGTGTTCGATTGCTCGCGACACGACATACTGCGCAGGAGGACTTCTAACCAGGAAAGAATACTTGAGTAGATGTCGTCCGAAGTATTTCGTGAAATGAAGTTAAAATGTAGTAAATTCAAGCCAAAATGAGCAATTTGGTTAAACTAATTGACGATTAAAAGGGGAAGGTTATGGATTTAAAGCCGGTCGTCACATGTAAGTATATTTAAGTGCGATGCTCCCTCCCGATTGAACTGGCCTAGACTCATCCTCCGTCGGAGGCTCCGGTCTGCGTGCGTGAAGGAGCAGTCACTGCTTCTATGGCGTTCCTATAACCCGTTCGTTGCAGGACGACAGCTAGATTTAAGCTCTATCAGGAAATTTAGATATTTAACCATGCCAAAACTACATTTCTTCTGCTCGTTTTTCTACTGCAGACATCTTTTGACCTTGGTGCTCCAATCCCACGTACACAAACAACTAGGCACTGCTGAGACTGATGTGTTAACATCCTATTATTCGAGAACTATGTTTGCCAGACGTTGCAAATATGATCACTTAACGCTATCAATGTAGTTTGTACTTCTGACGGTTGCTTTGACAAAATGCAGATATGTATGTAATATAATACCATATGGTCAGTGCAACATCACATGTTTCATGGTCTTATTCGAAATGAAAATATGTTCTCAAGAGTATAATGTAACATAATGTTAATAACATTAAAATATATATAGGTCTTGGTTTATTTATCATTAACACATCAGCCATGACAAAAAATAAGCAAGAAGCTGTGTGCCATTTGTTTTTCTTACATTGGGACATGATGAATTTCTGAAATATAAACTGGATTGAATAAAACTGAAGACATTTGTTAGAGTCACTTGCACTAAAGATTTACAGCATCTATCCGCCTAGCAGTGCTAGTGCTTGTTGGATGTTATTCTTTTCTTGGACAACGGTAATAGAGCTTGGGGCACAGATGCTTGATCCCCCTTTCTATATGCAGCAAAATATTGTTTTTCTTCTTTTTGTATTTTCAAAGCCTACCTTGATAATTTTCCTGCCAGGAGGCACTGGATGTGGAAATATAGGGATGGCAAGTTCCATATGTTATCATATTCAGTGTAAACCCAAAGACATCTTAGTATATGTAAATTAACTCAACATATCTCATCTGAAAGGTTAATTAGTTGTGTACCATAACGACATAAGTATATCTTGAGTATGGCTATTAATTGGTGTACATACTAGTGTCCTTTATTTTGACAGTTTTTAGTTTTTATGCAACTCCTAGCAATTGACTCAAATCCCACAGTTAGTTTGACATTTTTCTTATAAAGAATGTGTTAACATTTAGTAAGTATTGCATGTATATACTGCTTAATGTTGATTGGAAATATTTGTTCCATTCCTCAATTATAAATGGATTTCATGTGGAAATAACGCTATCTTGTATATGATATGGAATAGAGGCAACAATTTTTTTAATAATTTCAAAATTTATTTAATGTTATTTTGATGATTTTATTTTTAAAGTGGCACTGACATGAAAAATCAAAATTTTGCAAAGGCTTTTTCTTAGGCAGTAAACATCACTGATTCTATATCTGCAAATATTGTTTCAAAAAATGGGCCATAAGTTCATTTTTGGGGGTTTTAGTCATGAGAGGTTTTTCAAAAAGAGTCTGGGGAGAGTGATGCTTCTGGTGTGTTATTCTATGGTTTCTGGTCACGCAACCCCAATGGAGCTTAGAAAATGTCCAACAACCTGAAGTCAGATGGGATTTTTCAGATTCAAACGTTTCATCTACCAATGAGGAAGTAGTGTCGGAAGTGAGAGAGAAAGTTTTGAAGACGATGGGTGAAGTTCTCCTCTGATGATGGGTGAACATGTGGTGGTGAAGCCCACCCTTCGCTAATCATTCAGATTTTGATTCGGTTAAATATAACGAAAAGCTATTTCAAAGCAAAAAACCTGGATTGATTTTCTGTTCGTTTATTTATTCTTTTCTTAACAAGACGCACTTTACATCATAACCTGATTTGAACTGATCTCCAACATTAGAGCCAAAACAATACAACTAAATTGACTTAAAACTACATTAAAAGCACCTTTTTTTGAGTGAATGCTGATTTAAAGCAAAAACTAATCAAATTCACTGTACAACAACAAGCTCCGAGGAAACCCCTGTCCAAAGACCTAGGAAACCCCTAAATACACTTGTAAAATGTTCTGAGCCAATTGAAACTTTGTAGAGTTGCTAGAATTAATGTGCATAAAATGTATTTAGTTCCTCCTTGTTTTTATCTGGTTTTTTTGAGAATATCCGATACGCACCTTGTTTGAGCTCCATACTGACGCCTTACAGTGATTTTGTATGTCCGTTTTGTTTCCCTATATTTCACTTCCGTAAAACTATTCAAAGCTGATTGAAACTTCGTAGAGTTGCTAGAACTAATATACTAAAAATGTTTTATTGCGTCTTGTTGTGTCTTCCTGGTTTTGTACAAATATCTGAAAGGCTCCTCATTCCAGCTCCATACTGAAGCCATATAGCAGTGTTATCGAATGTCTGTTTTTCTTTAATTAGCTATTCAAAATTGATTGAATCTTGGTAGGGTTGTTATAATTCTTGTATGTAATGTGTTTTGGGTCACAGGGTGGACGAAGACAATAAATTGAAACTGGGCCTGTGTCTTCTAATAAATTTTACCCACAATTGTGGCAATTTTTTCCATCTTTGGAAACTTCTGCCATTGATTTCTAGGAATGTGACTGTTCTCAAACAGCCAGTATCGTTTTGTGCACCAGCACAACAATGTTTGCCGTATTCAGGTCGTTTTTTGCCATGCCCGATCTCTGCCTTCCTTCAAAAGTACGCAATAAACTGACTTTGCTGGTGCATGAACACCAGGATGCATCACAAATTCCTGAAATTCCTCTTTGGATGCATTTTTTTATTTGAAAAAAACTGACAAAAACCAGTACTTTGGAGCTTCAAGAAATTATGTAAACAAAAATATGCAGGAATTAATTACACCATTTGATTCAGCACTGCCCGCTCAATATTATATTTTTCTTCATCTCAACATTTTTCTTGTCACTGCCACTTTAATATTCATGCGAAAGTCCAATTGCAAAGCCAACTGCATAGAGAAGAGCTAACAGGAGTCTAAATAGCCTAATTTACAAGAAAACATTCTAGCTTAAGTTTTCAGTTTCATTTAATTTTAAAGGCAGATAATTTAAACCAGTCAGAGCTCAACCAGTTAATTAATTCCCAACCCCTTGCTTTCTAAATATGAGAAAAATTACCATGACAATTTCACCTTTACCACCCATTTAACAGTTTGCAATCTGTTGCCAGCTCCAAATATTTTCCAAAGCACGAAATAAACTTTTCTGTGGAGTTACAAAATTCAAAATGCTGATTCGTTTGGTTATGAATTGGTCCAGAAGTTCAAGTTAAGTTTATCTGACTTTTGAGAATGCCATATTGCAAGAATTATCAATTTATAACAATCTGATATTTGATTTTTTCTCACAGATTATGGGGAAGAGAATTTGTGTGTCAAACTTTCTCAAGAGATTGAACGACGCCTTCCGAAAAAGCCTATCGACTGGAAGAGGTTTGGGTCATATTTTTATGTTGATTGATCGGTAGAGATCATCTCACATCTTGAGCTTACTAGGCAGAGTTGCCCTTAGCATGCTGCAAATCAATTTCTTATCTCTGACAAAACTTTCTAGAACTTTTGAAATTCCTTTGTTGATAGTCATTAACTAACTTTGGTAAACCATTGCAATTTAGTAGTTTCAGACACTGGCTTTTATACTCTAAAATTAAGTTATTTGTGGTGGGATTTTAGAAATTTAAATGTTTCCATTGATTTGAGCCATTCCCTAATGTTTGATTGGCAATGTTCTTTATGATAAAAGAATGTCTACCACAGTTTTTGTTTTAAATCTAATGTAGAAGAAACATTGTTGCCACTTACCACTTCTGTTTCCACATATGCTACCATTTTTTGTGTGAAAACTCTACAACAAGCTAAATTTTCGAGAAATAAGCTGTTTCTTTGGTTGGAAAGGACAACTTGTTTGCAAGAAAAAAGCGGCTCAGGAAACTTGCTTGTTTGTCTATTTGATATTAAAAAACAATCTTGCGGAAAAAGAATCTTTTAATAGGACCCAAACTTTCTAATGATATCTCTCCTGCTTGTATTTTCTGTAAGACATGTTGCTATGTAAATCCTTTTTTTTGTTTTATCACAGAACATACAGCAGGGCACTGAAAACTGTTTGTTTAAAGGCAACATTTACGAAGTTTAATTCAGATCAACTAGAAGCAACCAATGATGGGACTGTCAGCAAACAACCATTTCTTCATCTGTACTGGACATCATGTATGGTATGTAGAACTTTTATCAAAAATTTTCATCATCATATTAATTAGTTACCATTGGCCTAGACTCATCCTCTGTTGGAGGCTCCGGTCTGCATGCGTGAAGGAGCAGTCACTTCTTCCAGTTACCATTGCTAGTACCAAGAGACCCTGGCACAAAAGGGTGACACTTAAAAAGTCTGAAAGGCTGCAGACAAGCAAATTGTGATCAGATAGAATGGTTTCAGCAGAGGTTTAAAATTAATCTTAACTTTGAGGGCACAAAAATGTGGTTTGTTTGTAAAAGTTACAATTTTGGCTCAAATATATAATTATTTGAAATATGAAAATCAAAAGTGTAAATTTTTTGTGAGTATAAGGCTCTTGCTTTTTTGTAGCAACATTAGTTAGATGCTGTGTTTAATTTTTGAGAGAAGTTTTTATGTCTAAATGGGTTTTAAAGAATATTTTCATATTAACCAGCTATGTTTTGGTCTCATTTGGCATTAAACTTTGTAAAACAAGCTAGAGAACCATGTTAATCCTCTCAAAACAAGACACACTGTCAAAGAATGCACAACACTGTCAAAAAAGATCAAGCACTCTACAAGAATCTTGATAATAATCTGTATTTGCTTAAGCATTATATGCTTTTGTTTATACCAGCATGTACATTTATGACATTTTTCTTTTAACTTATTTTCTTTTGTTATAGGAGAATGATGAATTTAGAAATGGAATCAAGCAAAAAATTATAAACTGGCAGGAAAATCTCAAATCAAGAGATATAAATGATTGGCTTATAATCCAGGTTGTTACACAAGATTCTCAAGCAACAAGAAGTAGAATCACTCTCCCAAGAAGCAGTGTCTTTGACAAAATCAAGAATGATCTGTGTGGCAAGGACATAAAAAGGTATTATATTAATTTTCTGTAAGGTGAAATGCCAAACAGTAACTACATTTGAACATAAACTCTGCTTGAATGCAACACTGTGTAAAGTTATGAATTCTGAAAAAATATTTTCTCCAAAATTGCAATAGAACTTTTAATTAGGTCTAATCATTTTCTAGCATTGAAAAACCATCTCGCTCTACACATACTGCCAGAGATGTTCCTATATAGGTATCCTTTTTTCCTAAACAAAGGAAAACTTACTGTATCAATGAATTTTGGCAGTCTCTTACCTGCTATTGGTCAGTTAAACTGGTTTGTCACGCTTCTCCTACCCTCTTGTCTGAGATTCAGCAAGCAATAGCCAATGAACAGGGTGACACACAGCTTTCAATTTGTCTTTATTGCTAATTTTGTCTTTTTTTATCAATATATCTTTTTAAGGGTTGTCATTCTATCTTTCTTTAAAGGGTTGCCCAGCTATGGCAGCCGGACAAGGAGGGCCTCTTTACAAAATCAGGTGAATCATGGGAAGCATTGCTGACACAACTTAGGCAGCTGCTATTGGATTCCCTTAGCAAGCATGTTACTAAGTTTGAGGAAAAAGTACGGCATTTACGTGAGAAGTACTCCGAACCAAGCTGGTCTTTCATCGAGTATCTCAAACTCAATGTATGTACTGACTATTACCATTTCTAGCTATTGCTATCCTGCATTAGCGTTATCTGTTTTGAGATGATATAAATGTTTTCTTATAAACCATTTGTGTTGGCTTAAAGGTCATATGCACTTAGCTTTGAATTTGAATGTTTGTGTTAACAAAAATGTCCAAGAATTGATTTGTAAATATTAAAAACAATTATTGATGTAAATAAACTATTTTAATGACTCACCAGAAGCCAAGATTTGACAAAGCTAACAAGTCAATAAATGTTGAAAGACGTTTTTTTGTACTTAAACAGTCTTTAAGCATGTTTTTATGCTCAATATTGAAGGAAGAGCTGGCCACCATTTTGAAAAGTGTCACACTTCATGAAGAGGCACTGGTACAGTATGATGAACTAGATGCTCTGTTTTCACAATTTGTCGTCAATGGAAACATAAAAGGTATGGGATTTTATATATTTAAATATATTAAACCAATTTTAATAACCACTGCTATTATTTGAACGCGTTTTATATCGCTGTGCAATTTAAAGCCAGGATGAGTGAGGTAAATAAAAAATTTGTGTCAGATCTGAGCAAGTAAGTGATTGAATGATTGAGTGATTGAATGATTAAGTGATTAAGTGGTTATTTGGTGGTTCTACAAGCACTAAAATAGCTTTTACCTTGCGTTACTTTCAAAACCTTGTGTTGATAAAAGAGCCAATTTAAATTGCTGCATCTAACAAAGACTGAAAAGTTTTGTCTGTGTAGACATGCTACATATCATGTGGCTGAGTCTTTCGAATTTAAGATTTATTTTGACCTTATTACTGAGAGAATAAATGCTTTTAAAATATTAGAGTTATGAAATGACAGAACAATGAAACGTAATCCACATGCTATATTATCTTCTTGCAGTTTAATAATTATATAGCCAACCTTGTTTATGTTATTATAATTACTGTTATGCTTTCATTTTCTAATTATACCTTTTTTCAACGGCCTAAGCTAGATAAGTCTATTCTTTTCTTGGGTCGTGTATATTACAGTATTAATACAGTACCCTTTTTCTGTAGTCTCGAATAAAATTGAATTGACTTGAACTTGCTTGTTTAGTGTTCACTTGATTTGGCCTAGGGATCCCTTCCTGGATGGAGCAATTTACAAAGCGACCAGACAGTTGGGATGGAGTTTCATTGCAAAAACAGGCTGTCAAATATTATCGCGATGCAGTTTACGAAGGCCGAGCATCGCTATTAGAACTTAGAAACTACATTTTCATTCGGCAGTGGCAAATGCTTATCAAAATAAACAGAAGTTGGGATGTCGCTCATCGACTTCTGGAGTTTTTGTTTACGGTTGTTAATGAAATTAAAATCCTGTTGGTGAGTCACTTGAAAGTGTTTTATGAATGACCCTTTTGTTTTATGAGCCACTCTATTGTTAAGTTCCTATTTACGTGCCCCTTCCAATGACGGCCCCCATATAATGGGCTGCTAGAAATAACGGATAAATAATGAAACGATCTTTGTAGAGGTGCCTCCAGAAAAAAGAAGACCTCTTCAATGAACAGTCACTCTGATCCTCTTTAATCCTACAGGTTTACAATTTATTAAGATTTTACTGTATGTTTGTAAATGTTTAAAGCACCAGATGACAAAACAATATTTGTATTTTAGAATGAAAAAAACCTGTCAATTTTTTTTAATCATGCTTGTGCTCTTTATTTATTTCTTTTTTTTGTAATTGCGATAATTCGGCTCTTTGTTTGGTAAAGGCAAAGTTCGTTTTATATTATTGTGTTATCACCTGAGCCTGTTTCTTCGATCAGTTTTGAGTCACGTGGGCATATACAGCTATATCTTTTGAACCTGTAAAACAAACATAAAGCAAATTACTGCAGCAGATGTAAGGCTTTGCATAAAAAACTCTTTTAGCAATGCAGATTTCGTTCTTGTTATTTCTCTGTGTATTTTTAGATTTTTAGCAATTTAATATTTATTTTTAGCCCAAACTCTCGGCGAGTATTCCTGCGTGCTGGGTTATTTCATCCTGTCTTGAATACATCAAATTTGTCGAAGAGAAAGAGATCACACATCAAACTGTAATGTCACATTTGGCTCAAATATTTGACTATGCAAGGGAAAAGCTTCTTTTTATCGGCAAAGAATGCAGTCTACTTCCTACTGGGCAACGTGATGATGCTATGGTAAGAAAGCTTACTGAAGGTTTGTGCAAGAGTCAGGCTTCCAAGGAAGGTGTTGATTTCGGTTCGAAATCGCTGATGACGTCAATGAACTCACAAGAGAACTACGATAAACTTTACCTACGAATCTGTGGGAAAACAAAGACTTTGTACCAAAATGTCCGAAGGTATCGATTCGCTAGCCGGGTTGGTGTTGATATTGCAAATTTTTACATGATGAAAAAGAAATATGCAAGTGCTGAAAAGCAGCTAACAGTGGCTCTTCACGAATACCGCCAGTCAAAATGGACGAACTTATCCATAGACGTGTTGGAGCCGCTTGCCACTTGCCACATTAATTTGAATTCATTTGATCGCTATTTGTGTTCGCTGGCATCATTGTCTTGTGCTTGTACTTTGTCGGTGGAAAAACGGCTGATGTATGCCGATATGTTCTTAGGCAGCGTTCATAACGAGGCAGACCATTTTCACACGATAAGTACCGATCCAGTTATTGGCTTAGAGCAAGTGCAAATCGACTTGACCAAAGAGATAGGCCATATCGGGGAAATCATTCGCGTAAACCTAACTTTGAGAAATAATTTACTGAAAGAGATCACAATAGACGATATAGAAATCAGAATGCAATACACCGAGACCGACCAAGTTCGACTGTCAGAGGTTGACTCGGGTTTGAATATTTCAGAAAAAAATGCAAACGAAATGGGTTGGTCGGAAGTTTTTGATCAATCGGATGAAGTTTCGAATCCCAGCACACCTAAGTCTACTATATTCCAGAGAATAAAATCGAGAAGACACAAACAGAAGGAGGTCTTTGACAATGCAAGTACCAATGATTTTGCAGATAACGTAATCGAGAGAGGAGCTTATGTAACTCCGAACGAGGCAGAAATGACGCTAAATAGAGGTCCTTTGAATAAAATATTTGACGAAAGGGGGTCAGCTGCATCACTTGGCGAGTACCGGCCTAAAACTTTGGCGGAAATTGCAAAACAGTTACCCCGCACAATGAGCCTAGGAGATGAGCTCTCTGGAGCTAAATCAGATAGCTCTGCAGAGCCGATTGCAATTCCAAACGGGGGGCTTGGCTGTCGTTGTGACTCTTCTGCTGGCTCGCTATCACTTGTATCTATCTCCAGCGACAAGGAAGGTTCGTCTTTTGAGGGCCTTTCTGAAAATTCTAAGCTTGAAGAAAGCCCGAGTTTATTTTATAGACGGAAAATGGTATCATTTATGAACGAGAAAGCCCGAAGTTCTTCCGCAGCAGAACTAGCAGCCAGCGAAGAGGATCCCACTGGTCTTGATACGAATGATCTTCGTAGTACTGTTGACGATACGTTACCTAATGGCGAGATGGAACTTGAAACAGAGGCACTTTCAGAAGTTGTTGAGCCGGATGCTAATGATGAAACAGATCGAGGCAAAATCGCAGAAAATGACGAGGTAAAATCAGACGACCGAAATCTTCCACAAGCTGACAATGAATACGAAATGGAGAAAAAAGTTGGTGGAATGGTTGGCCTAGACCTAGGTTCAGTTTCAGAAGCCAGTGACTGTGGCGAAGATGAAGCATTGGAAAATGGGCTTGTAATGAAACCAAGGTATTGTGCTCTTGATTTGCAATTGTAAGGTATAATATACACCATTGTTTTCAATTTCTTTACATTTTCAAGATTCCTAAAATCGGTTCAGCGGTCACTTTTCAAGGGTCCTTTTAGCTTGACAAGTTTATTTAAAGATGATATTATTACTGCGTTTTAGCGAGAAAGACGATGTTTTTGACGACGTAATGGAAGAGGATATAGGCGTCATGTCGGAAATCGAAGAAGAAACTGAACCAGCAAAGTCGTTGAGAGCTGGAACCACGAAACTCGCCGTTGGTGAAAATGTAGTAACTTTAACTGCAAAGGTGTGTATATTCTCACCCTGCTTCTCTTGCTATTGCATTCCGTCGTATATGTAGCCATGCTTTGGGTTTCTGTCTTAATGCAGCAAGGCACAGAAGCTTTTCAATGGAAGACCCTGGTTTGCAAAGTATGAACTGTTACTCCAAGCTTCGTAGTGCTTCAGTCCGTCAGACAGCTTTAGCATTATGATGATGGTTATTGCAATTTCGTAGCTAGGCAGTGACTGACATTGCACTGCAGTAAACCATGGTTTGTAAAATATTGGCCTTGAGCCTTAGCGTAATGAAGAGTATGCCTTTTAATATAGATTAAGATTGGTATAGATTTAGAAAGCATGAGAAATTCGGGGACGTCAGAGAGTTGAATATTGAAGTCAGAAGGACAGAAACACATATTGATATTTTCCTTTCTTTGAACGAGTAGAAACCTAAGAAAACTCACGATAAATTTCTTGTTACATTTTGCAAACAAATGGCACGTAATTTCTACGTGAATTTCGCAGAAAATGCATGCAAAATCATTGTGGTGCTGCATTTTTCTTCTTTAAGATGCATGCAGACCTAGTATGTTCGTTTAAATTGCAGGATTAGCAGCGCCATATAAATGCTTATAAATCAGTAAGATTCTTTGTTTTCAATGATGTAGGTGATGCACGTTGGGCGCTATCACTTGCATACGTTGAAATGCAAAATTGGCAATGTGATACTGATGAAGTTGATGAATTTGCCCCAGAAGTCAAGAGCTTTCTTCGTTATATCAGATCCACCCAAATTTTGTTGGACGTCAAATCATCTTTGTGAGTCGCTCTTTTCAATAATTACCCTTCCATTATATATTAAAGGTTCGATATCGTTCGTTCTGCCAATATGCTTAACTTAGGAAATCTTCTTCAGAACGCAATCAAAGTAAAAATTCTTCTTGGTGCTGTAAATATGGTGTTTTTGCATTCAATGGGCGTCAGTCTGACTCTGCCTTTAGAATAAGGGGAAGTTCTATGTGAACTTGTATTTGATGTTTTTTTCTGCCTGCATCTTGGTTCAAAACACACGTAAAATGCTTCCTCTATCGTATATAATGGTGTTTGTATGCCAAATGTAAAAAGGTCAATCTATGAAGATGTTTTTAACAAAATATTATCCTTTCTTGTTAATAAATTTTTCAAGTTAATAAATCGTTGAGGTGTCCACAATTACTCGTTTTGACCGAGATTTCCTTGATCCATAGCGAGCTGTCTGTTGCTTGGCAACAAACAGAGAATTCATGTTACTCTATCAAATGGTCCTGGTTTTATTCCTGCATCGTCTGTCGTCCAGTTATCGTCACCCACTGGTCTGGTGTTTAGTCATGTGCCTCCAAGCTCTGTACTTGTATACTGGCCAAACCAAAAGGACGACCCTAAAGAAGGTGCTATGCAGATCGAAGTGGAAAGTTCTAAAGCGAACGAGGCAATAATGTATTTGCCGGAATGTGGACCTTACAAAATGGTTGATTTGTATTTCGATGTTACAGCGCCTGTCGAGAATGCTGATTTGTTTGGTCATATGGCCAGACATGAGGTTTGTGTTTATGTAGCTTTTTTACTTTAACTCAGAAGTGAATGGATAACAATCATGTGTTGGTAAACCTTCTGAATGTCGTACCAACCTTGTATTTACATCGAGAACTCATTTGCAACGTTTCCTACATTTTTTATTGTCTGATTTCTTGTAGATATTAAAATTGAGTAGTGGGTATTAACATTACGTCATCACAATGCATAACGTCGTTCCTAATTTGCTTTCAAAAAGTGATCAACCTCGGTTGACAGAAGACCCTGATTAGTTACAAATCAGCCAATTGAGAATGCTTTCCGTCGCAATCGAGAATGCCTTACAGCGCCAAGAAGTATCCTGTTAACCAATATCCTTCAGATAACTTGAGATAACTTGGGACAACGTGGGATAATTTGTGATAACTTGAGATAATATGCTCATTTCTAAACTACTTAGGTCATCATCCTCAAATGAAGGGTCTATTTTCAAGCTATTTATTTTCTCAGTAGCTCTATAACATAAGTTTCCCCAGTTTTATGATCGCATTTGTTTATTGTCATTTTTATTTTCTTATCAACAGGTAACCTTGAATTGTCTCTGGTTATCAGACTTAATAGACGCAAAAAGCAATCTTGAAAGCATTTTTTACGAACCGTTTAGCTTCGAGCACGATGCTTTTTTCAGCACAGCCGGGTATGAGAAAATGTCATTTTGTGTTCAATATTACTCGTCATTGTTAATTCATTGCTTCAATTCCTTCCTTATTTGTTTTTTAAACTCCAATGGTTAGAAAATTTAACTTTAACGCCAATAGTGAGCATCGCTGAAAAAATCCGGCTCAAGTTGATGAACAAGGAAGCAATTCAAAACTAATAAATAAGAAACGAATTTTGTCTTGGCAGAATGTGAGCATGGGAAAGGATCTCCGCATAAAAACCAGCACGCCATTCAAGATTGGCAATAACATCCTACCTGCTTTGACATATGAAAAAATCGGAGTATCAAGCTAAAATGTGTTAATCTCCTCCGAAACCACATCTGCCATGTTTTAAAAGAAAAAGGGTTTGCAAGCATTACACTTGGTTTGCAACCTGTGTGCTGAACCGCTCCCAGCCCTCTTTTAATCTAAAATTACCTGGAAGTCTTCTCCGATCAGTTATAGTTCTTGAATAGAATCTGTTTTTTTATATTGATCCTTCAGGACCATTTTCGTTATGTCTACATGGAGACGTTTACCAGAGATTGTGTTTTTATCCAAAGTAACACGAATCATGTTTTACCTCTACTCGGAAATGTTGCGTATTCAAAGTATTTACCTCGAAAGGCGTGTCCCGTGGCTTGCATTTTCTGTCACAAATTTACTGTGGTCAGGTAGACATGGGGTAAAATGGCACAAAAAAGATTGCGTTTTTACTTGAAACCGTCTTCACGAAGATATGACCTATATATCAACCTATAGGCAACCTATATAACTTTGTATATATACCTCATTCATAAGTGTTCTTTTTTGTTTAGGAACTTTGTTCGAACTGTTTTAAAGAACGTGAATCAGCTGCAGATTGACGTCATCGATCCAATCCTCGAATGCCTAAACGCAGAATCAGTTACCTTCAGTCTTGTTCCATGCGACATTCAAATGGTTTGTTTACTTATAAAATATGTAAACAGTCTTTTTGTGGTACAGAATTTAAAAATGGCTTTGAAAAAAGTAAACATTTTGAAACATACTAAAGCTTTTCGTCGGACATTCTTCAGAGTATGAAACGAGTTAGTTGTCCGTTCACTCTGAGTTAAAATCTCAGGTAGAAAAAGTTGCATAAACACAAGTCTCATTCCTGGCCATATGATGAAAGAAATCTGCATTCTCGACAGGCGCTAGAACGTCGAAATACAGATCCACCATTTTGTTAGATTCACATTCCGGCAAATACTCTGAAGAGTTATGACATTTTATACTCTGAAGAGTTTCAGACGAAAAGCTTCAAAATGTTTGCTTCCTTCAAAAACCATTTATGAATTATGTGTTGGACTCTTTAATAATAAAACTCCCTGCTCATTCTAGTTTGCAATTCTTCAATTTCAGAGCAGGGAAATCCATCATATATGTAAACAGTGTATCACTAATCTTTCAAAGGTAATAGAGTTGACTATTCGAAAACGCTTTGGAATTTTTTCTGCACCCAGTATTCTTTTTAATTTTTTACTTCTTCAGACTAACAAATATGTCTGGATTTTAGAAACTTGGTTTTCTTTGAAAAGAAAACTTTAGCATTTTTTCAAAAATCTCTCAATAAATAACTATTAAATGAAAAATGCCGTACTGAAAAGGTTGCTAAGGTTATCCCTCCGCGTTCGTTAAGCACAGATTTTTAGGCCGTTCTGTCAATCTTTCCTTTATCTAATTTCTCCCAATTAATCAGCAAACCATTTAGACCATCTCCTACATGACCCTGCTATTGCCAAAAGCATGGATCCATTTTGTTATTTCGTGGACTTTTGCTTTCCTGTTTATGTTATCTATGTTCAGAACCTGCCTTTCGTTACAAGACTAGGTACATTTTTTTAAGAACTACTAACAAACAGATTTTTTAGCACATTTTATTTTATGACAAAGAGTTTTTTCTATGTTATTTCTTCTTACATATCTCCCCATACAAGTATGCTAATAGCATTATAAAACTCGCTAATTGTATTCATATTATTATGCTTAATTGCATTGTTTTAGAATATAAATGCAAACGAAGAAATTAGCTTCATTTGGAAAACAGACAATATTGGGAATGGTATGTGTGCATTTTGTTCTCTTCGATCAACTTTAATAAAATATGCACCTTAGCAGTAATAGCGCCTCAGGATTTTCTAGCTTGCGTGAAATATTCTTTGAAGTCCATCTCCTCGGGCTTGCTAATGTTTTCGTCTGTTTTGCTACACTCATTTTTTTATAAGAAACAAAGGTCGATGTTGAGTACTCCAGTTTCTTAATGTTCTGGAAATTTTAATACTCATTGTTTCTTAAGAGTTTCATGATGTCATGAATGATGTTATGAAATGTTCGTGACCCTTTTTATCACGTCAAGAGATTCACTTCCGTTCTGATGCTGTATTTAGATGCTCTTAATTTCTAGGCCAAAAGGGCAATCGTGTTCTTGGTTTTTACAAAATTTCGTTGTTCTCAGTTTTATCGCGATTTAATAGTTTCTTAATTTTTTTGCTTCGAGTACTGAAGTTTCTTAATTTTTTCTGACTGTATGTCCAGTACTCGTTTGTTATAGCCAGTTTCGTATAAAAAAAATGAGTGTATTGTTGAGTTCACATTGCTGACGTCCAGACTGGGTATATAATATGTTTGAAAACTCCCTATTTTAAATCCCACTGTTTTGGCATGCGAACTTTTGGAACTCTAGATTTTGTGCCATGGGTATCAGAGCCACATAAATTCGAGCGTGGAAATAGAAGACAGGAACGGGAAGCGGAGGAGTGTCTATATCCAGAGGCTTTTCCGCTTCTCCGTTTGGTTCTCTTTTTAAGGGCTCGAGATTTTGTGACTTTGGTACCCAGGAATAGATGCTGTTGTTTCTTATAATTTGATTTGTTAGATTCGTTAGGATTTCAGTATACACTAAATATACCTACATTTGAAACCTTTTATTTTATTTTATACTACATTGGTTATGGTTCCTTACCACAAAGTTTTATGCAACAAATTCCTTCTTTTGCAACCATTGTTCCCTAAGTGAGATTGTTCCTGGCAGGAAATAAATTTTTTGTTTTTATTTCCATGAAAGCGAGTCATCCTGTTCATTTTCATTCCTCCAAAAGTCCAGATGTCGGTTTCATCGGGTATAAATTTACTGTATTTATCTCTAAGCTTTTGCCATTATGAATCGAACTGATTGTATATCCATAAATTTTTTGTGTTTTTAGAAACAGAAAAGCCTCCAATTTTGATATGTCGATTGAAGGTGAACTTTAAAACCGAGGTACGTTTTGTTAATAGCAGCAAACGGTTAACATCTGGCAGAATCTTGAACCTAGTGCTTAGCATGTTTTGACTGACAGCGAACCCTTGGGTAGGCTGTTGGTTTTTTCAAAATCGTCATGGAGGGACATTCATTGATTGGATGCTAGCGAAATCCCCTTCTTCGAAATCCAGCCATCCTGCTGCTAGAATCGATCTTCGAAGGCCTATTTTTTGGGTTTTATCACTCCACTACTCGCCTTAATTCTAACACAACATTCGGATACTTCTTTATCACTTAACTTGTCTTAAATCGTGTTGGTGCTCTTAAATTCTGCCGTTCACTTTTCTTCAAATCTAAACAAAGTGAGTGAATTACTATTGAGAGAGTGGTGGATGTAACTTTAATTGAAGTATAATTGAACTGTAATTGAACACCTATTTCTTCAAGTTAGAAAATGAGCAAATGTGCAAGGTAGATTTAGATATAAGATTCAAGATTATCTACGTCAAAAGAGTTATCCAAATATATTGTTAGATTTTGCACCAGGTTTATTAACCAAAAGGTGGAGAAAATGCAAATTTAAGGCCTTAGAACGTTCAATTCTTGCAAAAAAGTGGCTGAATTAACATTGAGGACCCCCAAAATTGAATAAGAAATCCCATTAACAGCTTATCAAGATGTTTAAATCAATTATTTAAAGTGATATGTAATTGGGGCTTAATTGGCGCACAAGAAAATAGTTGTTGGGACAGTGGCAAGATTCTTCCACTCGTTGTAAAAAACAAAGCAAAAAGAGTGAGGCTATCCATTTTGCAAATGATAATTGATAAATCTGTCACAATTGCTGTACGAAATTCTTAAGAAAGGCGGAGAATTATTCGTGCCGAAATCCTTGTCCAAGGAAGTGCGCTTTTGCTTGAAACTTATGGCATCGTTCTTTTCTATTGACTTTGCATTGAAACGAAGCTCTCCTGACATTGTTTGACTAATCCATTTTGGCACTCCTATTCCATTTCATTTTATTTCATTTCATATGTTTAAGGAGGGTATTCCTTCAGCATTTTCCTATTTCTTTCAAAGCGAGCTATAAAGTCAGGCCCAGGTTAAACGTCGTGCTTCTCATGTGCCGAACCTAATACAATTGAGTTCACCAGAAGCGCGACGTTAGCGCGGCCGCCAAGTTAAACGTCGAACCATGGTCGAACCTAATGCGCAGAAAATTACGGTCGGGGCGGTATCCAAGCAACAGCCATCGATTAAAGATCAACACAATTTTTCAAAATGGCCTTAACTCGCAGAGCGAAAACCTTACTGTTGAAAAGTTTAATTTCAAAGCGTCGTAAGCGTCGAAATTTGTTGATTAAAGGAATGGCCATTATTCTACAACAGAGGCTACTGACATTGAGGTCGTTTCTGCTGGCAGCTACGTATTTATTTGGCAAGTTGACAACATCACGGGCTAGGGTTAGGTCATGCAGAAGGTTGCCAAGAAATACAGGTTGGTGGGAGAAACTGTGGTTTACCTACGACGATAAACGATTCAAGCAAACACTAAGAGTATCAAGATCAACATTTGAATTTATACTGACAAGAATAAGACCGCAACTTGAGAGACAAACGCTTACTGAAGAACCCATCTCTCCAGAACTTCGTTTGGCAATCTGTCTCTATCGTCTTGGTAGAGGGGATTATCTTTACAGCATAGGGGAAATGGTAGGCCTAGCACGTTCAACAGTCACAAGGATTGTCAACGAGGTCACCCAAGTAATTGTTTTCTGTCTTTGGGAACAATTCGTATCTAATAATATGCCAAAAACTGAAGATGAATTCCAGAGCAAGATATTAGATATGGAAGAGCTTTGGCAGTTTCCCTGTAGTTGGGCAGCTGTTGATGGATGCCACATCCCCATTAAATGCCCACCTGGTGGCCAAAGTTCTCGAAAAGAATATCACAATTTCAAGAACTTCTATTCAATTGTTTTAATGGCATTAGTGGATGCCAAATATCGTTTCATTTGGGGAAGTTGTGGCTTCCCTGGGAATTCCCATGACTCAATCATTTTGCAATCAACCTCTTTGTGGAAGAAGATAAAAGATGGAAAAATGATTCCAGAGATCTGCCAACAAATAGATGCTGTTAAAATCCCCCCTCTTATTCTTGGAGATTCTGCCTTCCCCTTTGAATCATTTTTAATGAAACCTTACACCAATGCTGTTTTGACAAAAGAACAACGCTATTTCAACTACAGACTGAGTCGTGCCCGTATGGTCATTGAGGGAGCATTTGGCCAGCTTAAAGGAAGATGGCGGTTCTTGTTGCGAAAGTCTGAGGGCAATGTCTACGAAATCAAAGTTGCTACCTTAGCCTGTTTAGTTTTACATAATATTTGCCTTGATTGTGGAGACACTCTGCCTTCAAAGTTTGATGTATCAATTGACCCACAAAGCAGTCAAAGAAGAGACAGAGCAACAATCCGTGACCTTCTTCTCATGAGTACCAGCAGAAAGATTTTTGATGCACGTGATAACAAGGCAGTTCAAATAAGGAAGACTCTTGAGTCCAAATTGGCAAAAGAATTAGCTGAGACTTCTAAGAAATGATCATAGATGAAAACACAGAGTTGAACACAGTGACTTTTCATTATTCTTTGTTAACAGTTATGGTTCCAATTTGACTTTTAAGATATTAACCTTTAAGATATTAACTTTTAAGAGTATTTTGTTAGATAATAAAGTTTTCATAACTCAACTCACAATTTCGTGAAAGTTTTCTCAGATGTCTCATTGACACTATTCAGTTCTTGCATGAAGCTGTTATAAGCAGAACTGCTGCCAGCCATGTGATTCATGGTATTATGATCATAAGGATGTTGCTGGATGACTGGATTCATGTTGCTGTAATTCAGAAATTGCTGCTGCTGTGGTGGCATCGTTTGTTGGTTCATGATCAAAGAAATCACTGCAAGTTCGTGTTTCCTTTCTCTTTCCTCTTGTTCCCTCATGAATTTCAAAAAATCACTCATTGGGTCTTTTTCAGCAATGTTTTTCATAAGGCCCAGCATCTCCTTGAATTGCTGTTCCTTGGGGGGACTCTTTTTGGTGCCCTTCATGACTGGGATGAACAATTCTGGTGTTGATTCAGCTGGAGCAACACACTCACTTGTGGAATCAAAAGATCGCTCACTTGGTTCGATGGCTTGTTCCGGCTGGCAGCTTTCTCTTGTTTTCACCAGCTCTAGCAGCTGATTGAACCAAACTCCGTAATTCTTTTCTTCTTGGAATCTCTTTATTCCACTTGCAGTTTTCATTACAAGTGCTGCTTTCTTGCACTCCCCAACTACCTTCTTAAATTTATTACGGAGCTGGATTACAGTGTAGTTGCAATTCTCATTTCTAGCATGAACATGCTTTTTAAGTTCTTTTAAAATGTTCCCATATATTTCACCATTTTTTTGATTTTTGACATTCTGGAAAATTAGTTTTTTCTTGAAATATTCATTGGATACAATGATATCAATAAAGTCAGCAAGTAAAGTGTCAGGCCAACTTGTCTTTCTGCCAGATTTCTTTTCTTTCTTTCTTTTTTTTAATGGTGGCCCATCAGCATTACTCTCATTCCCACTTTCAAAATCTGCTTCCTCATCTTCTTTGTTACTGTTAGGACTAAAAGCAGAAAAATAAAAGTGGTAGGCAAGCAAAGTAGTAGTAATTTTTAATGATAAGCTTGTAATTTGGCCTATTCAAGAATAAGAACCAGGAACCCACTAAACTAATATTTATTCAGAAAAGGCTTGAATATGAAATACATACCTTGATGGTGATATCAATTCAACTTTTGATGACTCAAACTGTTGCACCTTACAAACAGAACAGTAGCCTACACTCCGGCATGGAATCCAGCCTTGGGTTTCTTCATCTAACTCCTCCAAACAACAAACTGTACAGACTGGTACCCCGCAAGTTATGCAGATATATTTAGTCTGCTTCATACATGATTCGCAATTGTCTATGTTTCGTGAATTTGATGCCATGATCGTTATACTGAATATGAATTGAATAAACTTCTAAATTTTCAAGAACACGAGTGAAAGTGAAGTGAACGATGACTCGTCGGAATGGCGTAAGTTTGTCGTTGGCGCCTTTTTCCTATCTCATCTGCGCATGCCTAACCTCGTTTTAACGTTCAAAATAATTAAAAATAATTTATGCGTTAGGTTCGGCACATGAGAAGCACGACGTTTAACTTGGTGTCGTGCTACTGCCGTGCGGCACGGCAGAACAAGTCGAGCCAGAGACGTTCTGTCGAACTTAATCGATTTTGTCGAACTTAATTAAGTTAAACGTCGAGCTTCTCATGTACTTAATTCAGCAATTAGGTTCGGCGCATGAGAAGCACGACGTTTAACCTGGGCCTCAGCTGCCAATGAAAATTAAGACCAAACAACAGTTTGACACAAAAAAATTGGCAAAATTTTCATAAATGTTTGGTCTTAGCTGGTACATCAATTGTATCAAATATACTTTTGTTTAGTGTGATGAAACTGTTGTCTGGTTTAATGGATTATCAGCATCGACTGATGTGTGGTGAGAAGATCTTCCAGAGTACGTAAACATTGCAATATGCAACAGTGTATGAGCTTATTGAGACTTTTAGCATACAGCCATTTCATGAAAAGAAAAACACGAATGCATCGTTCTCTGTATTTGGCATCATGAATTTTTCATCCAACTTTCTCCCTTACTGTGGTTACAGCTTTTGCTAACTTGTGCAGTTTTTTAATAGGATCAAGAAGACATGGGCGGGTTTAGTAAACAATTTGAAGTCGCAAATACCACGGTACGTAGCTTACATAAGTTAGATCATTTCAAAATATTATTAATGATTTTGTAACAGTAATGATTTTTTTCCGTAAATTTTTTTCTCGTTATATCTGGTTTTTCGTTATATCGATAAGAATTAAATTGTTTTTTCCTGGGTCCTCGAATACCATCGAAACTAGATACCAATTTGTCCTCCAATATCTTCGAAACTGCAAACGAGGTTGTCCAAAACACAGCTCAGAGCAGGAAATGCTGCTCAAAATTTCTTTGTTCGAAGATTTTATGCTTTTTTTAAAAATTTACGAGGTGGTGGTTTTAAAGAAATAGTGTTTGCACGCATTTTACATGTGCTTTTCGAATTTCATGCATGCAGTTAGTTTAAAAGCTCCTTAAAATTTGGCACTTCAAATCTCATTATTTCTGAAACCCAAAAAGCCATCTTTTCAGACATCTCATTCTGTATGGTGCAAAACACCAACTGTACCTCAATGGGAGGCTATTAGCCAGGATTTAAACCGATAGGATAAAATTAGTTGGCATGGCAGGACATGCACGATCTGATGCAAAGAAGTTGAGATCTGCTAATTATCTTACAGTTACTGCACATTTGGGCTCTTTGAATTACTTTGAAATAGATTGGGCATAAATCTCAGTGATATGTACATACCATACTGACAATATTCGATTGTCTTAAAATAATATAGTGTAAATATTGAAAATCTCAATGTCTTTAATTATTCTATACTGTAAATATTTGACTCTCTATTTTCTAATGTTTACTAATACGCGAATTTGATGATTTTGTGCGATAAATGTTTGATACCCTAAACATGCCTAAATGTAATGCTATCGATGCGATTCATTGTAAATATTTAGAAGTATCTCGTTTCTTTTAATTACTTTTGTGCCTACAAAAAAGTAAATACCCGCTTCTGATCTGATTTGCGATTATCAATGCTATGATTCAGCGGGCAAATTACCTACCAAGCAATGTCATGCGACAAATTTTCATCTAGTGTACTTCATCTAGTATAGTCCATCCACAGTAATCGATGAAAGTATTTCGTATTCATGATCAACATCAATAGCTGTTTCCGTTATGTAAAATTTAGAAGGTATCTAACTTAGTGCAATGGCTTCGGTGCAGTAAGAAAACTATTGTAAACCATTGCTTGATGCTCTTGTAGTTATGCATTACCTCATGTGAACTATATTGTATTGATACCGTTTTACATTTTATAGTTCCTATATTCGAAACAGTTATTATTTGATACCGTGAAACCTCTTTAAAATAGCCCCGCCAAATAGCAGACATCTGCACATTACTAACAAATATATGTCCCAAGATTTATTTCCTATGGTTAAAGCCTTGTACAGGCTGACCCCAGACAACGAGCACCTGAAAGGAACAAGTGACAGCAAATCTGGTCATAAATTTGTCTTTTTTTAAATGTAAGAACAATAAGAACGCCAACTCGATTTGAAAAAAAAGGAAGTTGTGAGATCGCCTCGGATGAGAAGGAAAAAACAGCAGATTCATCAGCAAATCAACCGTTCTAATAGAATTATAAGGAAAACTTATATTTAGTTGGCTTAGCAGCAATTGGTAGAACAGAGGTGTAAAAATATCAATTCTTGAAATAGAACTTAATTAAGAATACAAGACGTTTCACTGCTTGATGATAAAGTAATGATGTTTTACAGAAACGCTAGCTCTTTTATAAACCTTTTACACTCTTTGGGACTAGCGATTTGAAATTTTCGTATTTTTTCAGAACGTCTATAATATTTGTTATTGTTGATTTTTTAAATATGCCATCATTCATTTTTATATATTTTTACCTTCAAACAGCCTAGTTTTGGGGTGACAACAAAAGTTGGGGCAGATGAAGACGGCTTTTTGGTGAAGGGTAAACCCTATCCTATTGAAGTAACAATCACAAATATTGGCAAGCTGTCGAGAAGCTACCACAACGGAAAGCTGTTTTGCAAAATTGTTGACAACGATCAATGGAAATTTAACGATGACGTTGAATGCCGAAAATTTGAACTGCACGACAACGATGATTGCTTCTGTAGTTTTACTACTTCAGCAACACCATATAGAAGTGGACAGTTAAGGCATCCTGATATTGTGTTATCAAAAGTGCTAGAAAATGCAGCTGCAGGTTCACCGGACAACGCCTGCCATGTTAAAAAGCATAGAGTTGGCTCCAGCGTGACAAAGGACAAGTTATCTTCGAGCAGACGAACTTCGGCAAGCACAGCTGATGATGTAGCACATTCATTTCCATCCGGAGAAGTTCTCTACACCAGTTGTGGCGTATTTGTTAACGTGCGATGTCCAACCAAACAGGAAACTACCGTGTAGACAATAAAACAGACAATTGGCAAGGGGATTCGAATAATGGTGCATTAATCTATAGCCGGCATGGAGTTAGTTCAATTTTCTTAAATTTTATATTGTAGTTTAAAGCTGATAGAGGTTTAGACTTTATTTTGCTTGGTCATCTTAGCCTGTAATTTGCTGCCAGTGAGCCCGGTTGCATTCAAGTTATGAGTTCCAGTGCTTCAGATTATGAGTCCGGTTGTATCAGATTATAATCCAGTTGCATCAGATTATGAGTCCGGTTGCATCAGATTGTGAGTCCGATGGCATCAGATTTTGAGTCCGGTTGCATCAGATTATGAATTCAGTTGCATCAGATTGTGAGTCCGATGGCATCAGATTTTGAGTCCAGTTGCATCTCTTCGTGAGTCCCGTCGAATCTACACATCACCCAAGTTGCAATCTGTAAATGTCTTTGTTCAAATACCCCATATACAATTTTTTTTTGAATCTGGCAGCGGTTAATCGTTGTCTAGGTGGAGGCATGCATATTGTCTCAAGGCATTTCCAAGTTTAGAGGTTTATTTTGAAAGCAAAATGAAGGAAATTGATAGGCCATCTGTGCAATTACATTCTTTTTCTGTTTTCTTTATACTGTTCGCTCAAAAATTTGCGTTCCTAAGGAATTTTTCGGTTAAGGTTCCTTAGCAATTTTTCGTGATAATGGAATTTTGAGCTTTAACCAAAGATATATTCAAGGCCTTTTGAAATCTTTTATTGTGTAGTTGCAGCCATTTTCGGTACCAGACTCCTGGCATCTCTCATTCTTCTGAAAGCATTTGAAAGTAAAGTATTTGCTTTAAAAGATTGTGAAAAGACTTTTTGTAAGAGATTTTATTATTGTAGTTAAACTGCAATAAATGCTTGGTGTATGCACTATTTTGGGGAAATTGGTTTTCCTTGTAAACCTAATTGAAATGATTATTTCGATGTTTAACACCGATGTTAGATTATTGAGAATTAACTGAAATTCGTAATTAAGATTGTTCGCTACTTTTCATAGGTTTTGAATGAAAATTGCGGTTTGTTCGTTCTTGTGTCTGTGTTATGTGTTCATAAATGTGAATGGCAACTGCAAAGTGGATATACTTTGATGTTCAATTAACCGATCATCTCCTATTCAACTAGCAAATCCCAATGTGTCTGGAACATGATTTCCAATTCCCATTGCTCTTGATATTGCTGTTTCTCGTCTCTCGAGAGTTGATATGATGTATTTCTTGACGGTATTCCTCAGACCGATTCTTGTTTTAAACAATCAAGTCATTTCTGACAGTATTAGTCTCGTTTCGTTTATCTGGAGTTAGAATTGCTTTATCTGAAGTCACCTTCGATAACAATTGCTTTCAAAAACTCCCGTAGGCCTGTTTTTTGAAACAATGAAACAGTGAGTCATTTGCTGTCAACGAAGTTGTTTTCTCAGCATCAAAGACGCATTGGAAGGTATGTTTAAACTTAGGCCTTCGTCACTGGATTCTGGCCATTGCTTCTAATGCAACAAAATTCAAAGATATTTATGTTTTAGGTCTTAAGTGGAAACATCCCTTAGGTCCTTTACATGACATCTTCTGTTTTTAGGCCACTCGTTTACTCAATGTCGATACAATACCGGCATAGGAAGGTTGTGATCCGGATTGAAACCATTTCGATACGTGTACAGGTTATATCGGTACTATAACGTCCTCGTGTAACTTAACCAAACCGGGTTTTAGGTGAGAGTCAATGCCTGGAACACTAGTTTACACCTCAATTTTTCGATGCAATGTTTGAGGTAGAGACACTACTCTCTTGAAGGTACATGGGTTTATAGCGTCTGCCAGTTATGAAGTGGGTTAGCAAGGAGATCATACTATTACTCTTGCATCTCATTTTATTGATTATCCACAGGGTTAAGCTCATGTAAAGCAATACTAAGAATACATAACTCGTATCGAAAGGCAGTACAAACAATATCTGTTAGAAACCTCTTTAATTTGCAGCGCTTCAGATAAGATCCTTGTTACCCTATTGTGGTTAAAAAACTCTCGGTAAAAGGCATTAAGTAGGAGATGTTTGCCTTTAATGACGCAAAATGTCTTTTGTGTTCCCAAAGACCCCAAGTTGATTCGGGATTCAACTTTAATTAGTTTTTCGATTATTTTTATTCCAAGGTAAATTTCGCTTTTTTAGCTAGTAATGTTAGAAATTCTATTTCGTCATCGCTCCCAGCTCCCTGCACGAGATATTGTGCTCCATAAACTGTGCACACAAATTTTATGTCGAATAATCAATCAAATTTTAACGACCATTAGATTGTTTTTAAAAATATGAAAAACAAAAAAGTGTTAGTCAAAACATGGGATCTTAATTTGAAGTTATGATAACAATTAATCCGATGATTAAGCTGCGAATTTAGCACAAAATCCAACCTCATTTAATCAGCATTAGAATGATTTGCTAGGATACACAAAACTTTACAATCTATCGTGTTATCATTTATCATTCAACAATCAATGCCATGTCATTGTTTGTCAAAATATTTGTATATATGTTATTTACAAACCAATGGTAGCTGTGAAAGTCGTACTTTAATCCACATTTGCAACTTCGCTTAAATCAGGGGATTGCTGTACTGTAAATAGGTGTAGGTCAAGACATGCTATAAACAATAACCATTTTATAGACTAACTTTAATTCCCTCTGACGTCACAAACAGGTCTTATTAATGGACAATATCTGCAATAATAATAACTGGTGGAATATTCTTAATTTATGCATTAGGGGTTGGTCATTGTAAAATTGCTTTGTTGCTCAAAAAGTAAAATAATGACCGTGATTATGGGTCAGTGTTAACGCAAGAGACAGATTTCATCTTAAGTTTTACAAAGGCTTGGGTTTTGCAGAATTATAGTATGTAGGAATTGGATAGAAACACGAGGTTTGAAACTGACTGTCTAATCGAGTATGTTTTTAATTGCGAACCTTGCTGGCCTTATTATTTTTCAATGAGCAATGCTTAATGCTCAATAGATCTTTAGATGAAATCTTAGATATTCTGTTTTGTGGCTCAAAGTTCTTTGATACTACATGTGAAAATTAATCAACATATCTAATTCTTGATACCTATACTGACCAATTGTACTCCCTCGCCGTCTTTCTATGACAAACATACTTTTGGTTTCTAAGCCAATCCTATGCTTCTATCGATCAAACTCTTAAGCACATTTGGCAGTAGTTGCTGGTCAGATGTTTATGTTTTTCTTTTGCCTTTATGGTTAGGCTCCGAGTCTCTGAGCGAGCTTGTTTCGAAGTTCTTGTGACAAAAAGACTGCTTTTTCTTGGTTAAAACTTTCGTGCTCAAGAGATCTATAGACCAGTTCTGCTAATTTGTCAAGCTTCTCTAGCTTCGAGGACTCTCGAAAATCAACAAAAAATGGCTATTGTACAGTATTACACACTGCCTTCAAAGATTGTCAGGATTTTCGCTTTCTATATTAGCCTTATTGTAATACTACATTCGAACCTCGGATCTTGTATCCAATTTTACAACAGCATTACTGCAGGACTTTTCAGCTATGTAATAAACCATACTTGATACGAGATTGAAATCGAATTTTATCACTGCCAGTTTAAGTGCATCTCCTAGACGACCTATGCATTGCAGATCTGACGCATGTAGAAAAATTGAAAAGTTATTCTGCCGTGTTTAAAGAAAAGTTTGTCTCAAAATCTCTCTCAAAGTTTCCATTGAAAATTAATGGAACACCTCTGACAATTCTTAGAACAATTTTCTCAGATCATTTCATTTATTTTGATTAATTGAGACGTGTCTTTATTGTATCCAAATATTTTGGAATAAGACGAATTGGTTTTGATTTGTTTCATTCAAATTATGAGTTTTTATCATGGAATGAAAAGTTATGAACAAATCTTTTGCATGAAGAAGTTATTTTTTGTATTTTCTATATTGTAATGTAGAAAAGCTTTACTTATGCGAAAGCCAGCACAGGTAAAAAATGTATAAAAAGTAAGTTTTTTTAAGAACAATAAATAAGGAAACACTAAAGCTATAAATCTATAAATAAAATTGCAAACTATCATAAGATGCAAAACAATAGTCAACAGATGTGAAGAATCTTGAAAAGAATATCTCTCGAACTGCTTCCTTTTTCAAATAAGTTTTTGTGAATTCTATCTTCTCCAAATTAAAGTTCATGAGAAATGAACTTTTAAAAATTGATTTTTGAGTTTTCTCTCTCTTAGATGAAAATATTTGTACCTATATTTTTGTCATGAGTATAAAAGAACCTGTCTTTGGTGTTAGTGGTACTGCCTTTACAAACAAAATGAATTTGTGTTGCTTTCTCTAAAAACATTTCTCCACATATTAGAAAGTTTCTAATGGTACTCATTTTGGAAATCTTCGTCACTTTCTGCCTTCTCAATAGAGGCAAAACTGATGGCTAGTGGCTAAAAATAATAGCCAACGCAAGAACCATTCATTGCTAATAATCAGTGATACAACCACGTTCTGGTTTTATCTTCATCGCCATTCATACTTTTAACAGTGAATTTTCAGTTGAATATATCCATAGAAACTGTATCTCAGGAGGCTTGTACAGTCTTCGAGAGATGAACAGGGAATATCCAGGGAGAGTTTAAGCATATTTTCACAACAATGGATTACAGAAGCGACAAAATTGCAACTATGATGGCAAACAATGGATTTCTGCTAGTCCAGCAATTCAGCAATTTTAATTTCATCAATAATTTAATTCTCCTCCAATGTGCCATAATCTTAAATTTCCATACAATCACAAAACACTGTAGACAACAGCAGTAGTATAGGTTTAGCCATGGCTAAGGATTAGGTGATCTGAAGTTCATAAATTTTACTTAATTACCTTCCATAGGACCTGGCAATTAGAACATGGACACACAGCAAGTCCACTAAACTGTTTTGAGACTGAAGTTGTGACAGAGTTGACTAATCGATTTGCAGCTTAAAACAGCTTGAAGTAAAAATTTTCCAGCAAAATGTTTCTAACCTCAGCAGTTTCTTTAATGAGTCCATGTATGAAGTAGTAACGTCATGGATGTTGGCAAAACTAGCCTTTTGGAATCAAAATTACTTATAGAAAAATATTGTCGATTGGTGACTAACATTTTCGTCAAAATTCTCCAAAGATATCACTTGTAACGAAATTCCTCCACGAGCTCAATTAGGGAACTTATAAAGGAACTACGATGCATATGCATCTCATTTTCCAGTAATTTTAATGGTTAATAATTGCATAGCAAAGTTCTTCTACTCTTTTGTCTCTGCAGATTGAGCTTCAAAACGAAGCCCTGGTCAACCTCATGGTCAAAGATAAAAATTTCCTATTCCTGGTAGTTTTTCATTGCGTAAACACTTTTTGACGCTTTAGTAATAATAAGTGTTAAGGACAATAGGATTTTTCCTCTTGGTGAAATAGATTAGAAAGCTTGGTGATATTTCAGAGGTTCAGAGATATTCAACAGTAAAGGAATTGCCTTGACTTCTTTACAGCCCAGCATCTGGTTTCTTAAATGAACCTTTTCACAAAACATGGATTTACATGGTTTATTTCTCATTGAAAAGTACATTTTATGCACAAGAATGTACTCCTGTTCTGGTGTTTGTTTACCAGATCCTTTTCTTACGCGAAAATAAGGCTGCTAGCTATTTTTGGTATGCCTTGTTTAGTCATATGCAGTAGCAGAACGATATGCCTAGTTTTCAGTAGCCTGTGCACAGACTTAACAAATTTCCTCTATTTGTAAAGTCTGCACTAAGGCTACGCTTTCAGCAGTATAAACAAATTGCCGGAAGAAGATACCCAGAAAGGGGAGGGGAGGGGGGCTGCCTACCAACGTATCAATTAAGAGAAGCTCTCCTAATAGTCATGTTAAGAAATTTTGGTTTCGAATAATCAAAAGTCTATAAATGTACACTTTTTGCTGATAAACAGCCTGCTGTTTGCAACTTTGGTCAAAGTTAAGATAAGATAGGTAGTCTATATTTCTTC